CCCCCCCCCCCTCCCCCTACTCCGGCCCTATAGGAATCCCTCTTTGCGGAACTGCTCCTTCAGGATGTCCCTGTACTGGTCGAAGCCGCCCTCGATTTGGGTGACGGTGGCGTTCTCGCAGACCCACAGCTCGTGGCACACCAGGCGGATGAAGCACTCATCGTGGGACACCAGGATGATGCCGCCCTGCCAACATGCCACGATGGAGAGGGGACTGAGCACAGCTGGCATTAGGGGGGCTCTGGCTGAGAGACCCCAGCTGGAAGCTGCAGGGAGCTTTAGGAAAACGAGGGGGGTGTCGCCTTACCCGGAACTTATTCAGTGCCTTCGCCAGCGCCTCGATGGTCTCCATGTCCAGGTGGTTGGTTGGCTCATCCAGGATGTAAAAGTTGGGACTGGAAGAGAGGGCGGCACTGGGAGTGCTACGCTGGGAGCATGGGATGCACCCCACGAGCTCGAAGCAGCAGCAGAGAGCCACTGCTTCCTTCCGCCCTGTGTCCACAAAGGCCCAAAAGTGAGGCTTCATCTGCAGGGCAGCAGCAGGTCTCCAGCTGCCCACCTTCCTCACGGTGAAGCAAGCTCTAGGGATGCAGCCACACAAAAACTAAGGGCATCTAGGAGAGAATTACCAGGACATGGTCATCTGGGCAAAGGCCACCCGGCTCTTCTGGCCCCCGGACAGGCTGGCCACAGGGCGCACGGCCAGCTCCCCTGACACACCGTATCTCCCCAGCTGGTGCCGGTACTCCTCCTCCGTCTTCCCTGCAGAGCACAGCACAACGTGGCTATAGCACATGGGCACCCAGTGCCTCGGGATGGGGCGGCTGCACGGAGGCAGTGCCCAAGAGGAAGTTTTGAGGGGGAAAACCTGACTGGAACATGAGGGAAGGAGCTGAGGAGAGGGCCCAGATCTCTCTACATCTCCAAAACCTACCTGGGAACTTCCTGGCCAGCAACTCTACAGCACTGATGTTCAAGTCCAGCTGATCCACGTGGTGCTGGCTGAAATAGCCAATTTTTAGGTTTCTGCAGAATGAGAAGAAATGCGGAAGTGGCACCTGGCCCTGTAACCACAGTGCTCCCAGCCCCATCTGCAGGAAAGGGGCACAAGAGTGGGTGAGCAGCCACCACTCCTCCCCCCCCCAGCTCTTCCTACCAGGTACCTGTGAGCATGTCTGATCCCTCTGACTGGTGCCAGCTCCCCCATTAAGATCTTTAGCATGGTCGACTTGCCAGCTCCATTTTCCCCAACCTAGAGAAGCAGCAGCAGCATTGGAGAGCATGAAACCACAGAGCTACCTCGGGGATGGGGCAGTGCTTAGGGAATTTCAGCCCTCTCGGACGATCACACAGCACTGCTGGAACACGTTCCCCAGTCCCTGAGCTTAAGGACTAGCTGGCCCAGCCCCCATTTGCAAGCACACAGCTTGAGGACAAGGACCCCTGACATCGAAGTTGGCCTTGCTCTGAGCAGGGACTTGGAGAGGAGAGCCCAGAGGTCACTGTCACTCTGCAATCCCGCGTACCACGCAGATGCGGGACTCCAGGTCAGCGGAGACAGACAGGGAACGGAATATGTAGTGAGTTGGGTCGTAGCAGAAGTCTACTTCATCCAGCTGCAGGATAGGAGGGGAGAACTTCTCAAAGCCATCGGGGAACCTGGGAAGGCAGGAGGAGGTGAGAGACGGCCAGGAACTTCAGAACTCTGCTCAGAAGGGAAGGTGGGTCCCATCCAAGCAAGGCTCAGGCGACACTTACTTCATCATCACCTCAGACTCCTTGTCCACGGGTTTCAGCTCTGGCCTGCAAATAGCAAAGCCACAGTGTAACTAAGGCGCCTTGCTCTGAACCCCACACCAGAAGCCCACAAACTTCAGCTCTGCAGAGCCTCATCCTGGCCAAAGCCTCCAGACCAGAGACACGGCACCCAAAGCCTGAACCACCCCATCCCTGCAGACACAGTGTCCTCCAGATTCACCTGGGAACATTGTTTTCTTCCCATCACCACTGCCCCCTCCCCACCTCTGCAGAGCAGCAGGACAGGCACTCACAGCTTCTCCAGCAGCTTGAGCTTGCTCTGAACTTGGGATGCCCGGTTTGCGTTGTAGCGAAAGCGGTCGATGAAAACCTACAAATGACAAAACTCCATTCAGCCACAGCCACCCCAGCGCCGCTAAGCCTTCTGCAACAACAGAGCCACAGCCACAGATCACTGCAGGACTAAGCAGCAATGAATACGGGCAGCTTGGGATGCTTGCTAGGAGCAAGGAGAAAGGGGCAAGGCTGGGAGAAGTGTCCCAGGCCTACTGGTTTCTCCCAGTACCTGGATATGCTCGCGGTACTGCTGCTGCGCCTCGTACTCCCGCTGCTGGTTCTTCAGCCGCTCCTCCTTGGTCTTCATGAAGTTCTCAAAGTCCCCACGGTACGTGTCCAGGCGCTGCGAGTGCAGGTGGATGATGTCCGTGGCCACCGTGTTCAGGAAGTTCCTGTCGTGGGACACCACGAGGATGGTCGACTGCCAGGTCTGGAGGAGACAAGGGAGAGGGAGAGCTGAGGGAGCCCGAGTGCCACCACCCAGCAAGGCAGGACACCAGCCTGGGAGGATGTCCCCGTTCCCTGATGCACGTCCAGCACACCTCTAACCCTGTTCCCATCCCTACCTGCAGGTAGTTCTCCAGCCACAGGATGGCCCTCACGTCCAGCATGTTTGTCGGCTCTGAGGGAAGAGAAAAAGGCACCGAGGTCAGGTCAGGAGGGATGTCTGGATGATGCTTTTTTACACGGGAAAGACCAGTGACCAGCCCAAGTGGCTGCCCAAGCATGTTTCCCGGGTGAGGATGGCTCCACGCCACTGCTGGGGAGCGCTGACAGCCCTGTCACTCAAGCTATTTTGAGCAGGCAGCTAAAGGCCACGCTGCCTTCCCAAAGCAGCAAGGGCACGGGCAGGCCCAGCAGCAGGGTTAGAGGGACCTGTAGTATCGACTTACCGTCCAGCAGAAGGAGGTCTGGCCTAGGGAAACCAAGACATGGGCATCAGAAGCAAAAAGAGCACAGGGTGAAGGCAGAGCACGTTTCACCACACACAGAGCTGCAATGCCTCAAAAGCTCCCCACCCTGACAGTCTGAGAAGACCCCCAGGCAGTCTCCCAGCCCCCTGCAGCACAGATAGCAAGCAAGGTGAACCAACAGAGTGAAAGCCTAGACACCAACCTGGCAAACAGGGCTCTGGCTAAGGCCAGTCTCATTCTCCAGCCTCCAGAAAACTCTCTGAGAAGAGCAGAGATTGCAGAGAAAGGTTACAATTTAATCAGAATAACTCAAATCCATTCAAATTTCGATACCCAGAGCCTGGAGACTTACTTGGTTGTCTGTTGCTGCATCTTTGCATTAAAGCCCAGCCCAGCGAGAATGACAGACGCCCTGGGGAAAAGCAGAGAGAACTGGAACACAGATACACCATCTGTCTGCAGAGCTCAGTCTGAGCTCCCAGACCCATGGTCACCACAGGCACTCTGCTACGTAGTTTACGGCCACCGTGGTGCAGGAAAACTTCCCTGCAGGCCCAAGAGCAGCATTTGGCTGCAAGACGCAGCCCAGGAAGACACAGCATCCACACTCAGTCCCAGGAGACTGACAAGAAGCTTTCAGCTCACTATCACCAGTATTCCAGAGCTACTCCCTAGACAGCAGGAATCTGGGGAGGTCTGAGTGGAGCAGCAGTAACAATGCCATTTGGGAGGAAAAAAAGCAACAACAAAACCTCCAGCTTCTGGGGAAGCTCAACTATCTCTAACACAGAAGAACTACGACAGAAGTAGAGAACAGAAGCAGGGAGAGTCCCCTGTCCCCACACACAGGATTGCAGGGCCACAGCATGGCCCTTCTGTGATCCAAACCACATCTGGCCATGGCAACAGACAGCAGTGCCACAGGGCAGTCTCACCTCGCCGGGGCCTTGTCTGCCTCAATCTCCTCCAGCTTGGCGTAGATCTCCGATAGCCTGGCACCTTCCGTCCCTTCTCCCCTGGAGCAGAGCAGAGCAGAGACAACAAGAGGTCAGGATCTGAGCGCTGAGGAGGCTGATCACCCCAAACAAGACAAAGGCAGGCAAGACCTCATGGATAAAAGGCTGCGGAAGGGCTGGAAACCCAGCGATGAGCATCTCACCTGCCAGCATTCACTTTGGCCGTCAGCTCCTTTTCCTCCCTCAGCAGGCTCTCACGAGTGGTGTCACACTCCAGCACGCTCTGCAGGGCTGGCGTCTCATCACCTGCCACCTCCTGCTCCACGTGGAGGATGCTGATGTGTGAGGGAATGCGCAGGCTCCGACTGGCAATCATCTTCAGCAGCGTGGTCTTCCCCAGCCCATTCCTGCCCACCAGCCCGTAGCGCCGTCCAAACGCCAGGTTCAGGTCTGCCCCTGCCAGCAGGACCCTAGAGCAGGGAACAGGCAGGTACCTGCTCAGACTGCCCCACGGAGAGAGAGGCAACCAGCGGCCACCTGCCCCAGCACCTTTCAGGCTGTGCTCAGGTGAGGTGGGCCACGTGGCCTCCTGATCTTTCCAGTCATTCCCCACCACTCTCAAATGTGGACCTCACCTTGGTCTGAAGCCCCAGCCAGGGTCCATCCCACCTCCCCACCTGCACTCACCGCTCACCAAAGGAGACATCGAAGTTCTCGATGCGTACATCGTACGACTTGTTCTTGCCTGATGACTCCATGCGGGTCTCCTTCTTGCTGGCAGCTTGGCTGGCAGTCGCCTCCTCGAGGACTCTGCAGTAGGCAGAATGCAGAGAAGGGGCTCAATGGGAAAGCTCTGTGTGCTCACATCCCAGCCAGAGCAGCCTGGGGGTGCTGGAGGCACCGCTGTACTCACGGAGGGCCGGATGACTTCACAGAATCCCGCTCCATCCTCTTGTCTTGCTTGGCTTTCAGTTTGGCTTCTGCCTTCTCCAGTTTCTTGGCGTTCACCATCTGGGGCAAAAGGAAGTGTGAAAGCACATGTTTAGCAAAAGCCCCAAAAACCCAACTCCAAGTGAAAAGAGATCTGTCAGTCCCTCGTTCCTGGAAGGAATGGAAGACAGAAGGGAGCTAGGACTGGGGAACTGGGACAGACTCAAGGAAGCTAACATGTCCATTACAGCACTTGAGGAATGCAGTCCTAAACCAACAGCTCGCATGCAACGGTCAGACCTCAGCAAGCAGCTGGCTGACCCCAACCTGTATGGCTCTTCCCCAGGACCCATTTCTCTGGTTTCAGGGACCTGAGTCAGCCAAGGCACTTCAACAACACCAACGTGCCTGAGGGTTGGACTAGATGATCTCCAGAGTTCATTTCCAACCCCCACGATTCCGCGATCCTGAGCTATCCCAGCACCTCCTTCACTCACCATACACCCACCCCAGCCAGCACCACTAAGTGGCGTTTCCCCTCCCCTGTTAAACTTTAGCCAGTTTGGAATTAACTCAAGTTATGCAGTGGATCAATCGTGGCAAAGCCAAAAAACATTTAATTAAACCCAGAGGCAAGAAGCAGCCCAGTGTTTTAACCTGGCCTGCGATCTTGGCCAGGCTCTCAGCTCAATCCTGCATCCAGTCACATAGCTGTGGCTGACCGAGAGCACTCCCAGGTATTTCTAGGCAGCTCCCAGCCACAGGAGCACACTACAGACCTGCACGCTTGGCTGAGAGCATCTTGTTACTGCGGCTGTAGCCCAGTACCTACAGACACACTGAGTCACTCTGTAAGCAGTACAGAGCTCCTCAAATCTCCCAAGCAGGACGTGTCCTCCAATACCTGGGAGGCCTCCCAAGGCCTCCTCTGAATCTTTCCCAATTTCTCTGAAGATTATCTTTGAGTTGCAGACACAAGAACCAGACAGCGAGCTTGGGAGCGGCAGTCCCAGTGCCAACAGCAGCCAGCTCCCCCCCAAGGCTCCCATTCACACACACAGATATCGCATTAGATCTCATCCTCCACACGAGGAGCTCCACGTGTGCCCCAGGGAGGGAGAGCACCACAACACACCGCACACAGCTGCCGCTGTCCTGGCTTTGTATCTGCACAACTGTCTCCATAGTTAAGCCCGGGGGCACCCAATGCAGAGCACAACCTGCCTCACATCTAATCGCTGCACGAGGTTCAGCTCTCACTGAGCAGGACAAGAAGCACTCCTGTACATTGTAGCCACTCAATCAAAGCTGTACTGAAGCAGCCAAAGTCCTTCCCGAAGTTAGAGACGCTGCACTCCAAGCGTTACTGCCTGACTGACCATGCTTTGAAACTCATTAAGATAGAGGAAAATAGAGCTCACCAAGTTAATGACCTGTTAGCTCCCTCTGAACCTTTCCACAATCAAGGCCAAGAGCTTCACCAATGATGCAAAGGCACAGCTCCCCTGTACCTCCATGCTCCACTGCTACCTTTGGTTCTGGCCAACCGCAGCATGCGAGGGGTCCAAAGCAGGCCACAGAGCTGCAGCCCCATGCAAGGGTTACCCCAGCAGCCCACCCACAGGCTGCAGCTCCTGCTTACCGACGTCTGTCCTCTCTTCAGCAGCAACCCTGGCAGCAGGTCCGTGCTGGCATCTGTGAGGGGATGGGGGGGGTGAGTGGTGGGGTCCCCTCTTCTGGGGAACTGGGAGGTTAAAGGATGGGGGGAACGAAGGATGGGAGATAAGGAGGACTGAAGGACAGAGGATTGAACGACAGGGGACCGAAGGCCAGGAGAACCCAGGGACGAAGGGACTGAAGGACAGCTTCCATGCATCCCAGCAGTTCAGCCCCAGGACAAGGCAGAGGGGTGCGGGGTTTGGGAGCCAGAGCCGGGGCTGAGCTGCCCCGTCGAGCCCCCCCGAGCCCTGCGGAGGAGCCTCAGCTCGCCGCCACCCCCCGGCCGCCGCTCACCGTATCCGTCGGTGATCTGGGAGAGCTGGATAGGAGCGTCCAGAAGCACCTGGCTGCAGCGCTGCGCCCGGGCTTCGTCCCTGCGGGAAAGAGGAGGGTCGGGAGGCCCCGGAGCCGCGGCCGGGCGGGGCGGGGGGGCCGGGCGCTGCTTACAGCTGGAGGCAGTTGAAGAGGCGCTGGCACACCTCGCGGATGGCCCGCTCGTCCTTGCCGTCCCGCGACACCTCCTGCAGCAGTTCGCCCACCGCCTCCACCAGCTCGTCCACCGACTCGAAGTCCGCGCCGCTGCTGTGCAGGATCCCTGCGGGCACGCGGCGCTATGCCTATCGCGACACTATTCCTATCGCGCTACAACCCACGGGCGGCCCCCCTCCCCCGAGAGGCTCTGTCGCGACTTCTCCAAGACGGGGCGGCGCTCACCCGTCACGTAAGCGAACACCTCGCCGTCCAGCTCCGGGAACTCGCTGCGGAGGATGTCGGAACACGACGCCATAGCGCGGCGGGAGCGGGGCCCGGCCCCAGTGCTGCCGCACGGAGCCCGGCCCCGCGGCACAGGCGGAAGGAGCGGCGGCGGCGGCGAGGCGCGGGGGCTGCCGGGAGAGCGGCGCCATGTTCGCGGGGGGTGCTGGGAAATGGAGTCCTAAGAGCGCGCGTGCGCGGTGCGGGGCACGGGAGAGCGCTGCCACGTGGGGCGCTGGGCACTGAGCGCCGGTGGAGCGGCGATGGAGTTTCCCAGCGCAGCCGCTGGTATTTCACTTTTGTTGTCGTTTTCGTTTTTACAGACGTGCTCCGGCAGCAGGCTCACAGAAAAGACGAGCTGCCCTCCTCGTTCTGCGGCGCTGTGTCCATGCTCAAGCACTCCAAGCACAGCACTTCCCCACAGCTGCCGAAAAGCACAGGGGAAAAAGCAAAACCTTGGATTCTTCCAGCTGCTAATACGTGCAGGCAGCCGGAAGCGCATTGATCAGGCAGTAAGAAATGCAGGTTCAGCCCCACTGTAGCTTTCAGGAAGCTAGGAGCTTCCCAGCATATACCAGGCTGCTATGGAAGCCACTGCTGCAACTGAGCACCAGCACAGTTAGAAATAAGCCCTGGGAATGCTAGGAATACAGGCACTCCTCCTTCATTTCACTTATCTACCCCTACAGCAGCCCAGAGCTGGGCAAGCAACAGAAGCACGGCCCCAGAGCACAGCCCACCTCTTGTACCACCACTCCTCCCACAGAGCAGCACAGGCAGCCTTCTCCGTTCTACATACTTTATTAGATTCAGAGCTGGACAAATCACAAAGTGTACAAAATGGAGACCACACTACCAGAAGCGGGACTGTGGGTAGCAGCAGCATTCCTATGGCCCAGAAGCATTTGGTAGAAGTGCGGAGAGGGCAGGCTGGGGCAGGGGGCTCTTAGTGCCAGTTGCATTTTAGATTCCAGAGGACAGACCCTGTTCACATCCTGACAGAGCTCAGCTGACCCACACCCCCCGGGATGGAGGTGGCCTTATTTCCAATTCATTTGGAAAGGAACGACTGGCTCGAGCCAGCAGTGGGTTGGGGTAAGTGCTCTATGGACCTGAAATGCTGTGCCACCCACATACACACCAGCAAGAGTCTAAACCCTCATCCTTGTTTGGTCACAAACCTTCCCAAAGCAGGACTCTATACTGAAGACTTTGCAAGAAATAAGAAGGCGGCAAGATCCAGGGAGCCCACCGCCTCCTCTGGCAGAAGCCCAACAAACTCACCACCTCAGGCATCCCAGACTGGCCAGCAACATCTACCACAACAGCAATAGCTAGTACAGAAGCCAGGGTAACTTCAACTCAGATTTGTCCAGTCTATGTTTAGGTCTATTCTACGAGTACATATGCACAAGAACTTCAAAAATACTAAGATATGATGCAAGTAGTGAGACACCAACAGAAGAGTAGTTTAATGGTGGACGTTCCCTAGAAAGATCACGAGAGGATGGGAGTTAGACTAGCCCTTCCCCACCCCGGGACAGGGAGCAGGAGGCTGACTGCACCCCTGCACACAACCTGATTCTGAACTTCAGTTGCAGCACGGGTGGTAACTGAGCACAGGCAGGAGAGTCTGCTCCCAGGTGAGCCACGGGGTCAGCCGATCTGCGTAGAGGGGCCAGGCAGATGTTCTCTGAATGTACTTGAAGACTGAGGAGACGCGGAGGATGGCTTGGAGAAGAGGGAGCCTGCCAGCCCGCTGGGGCTAGCACCTGGTCTCATAGATCCCACTCCTGCCAATGTACCTCACCCATTTTATCACATCGTGGTCACTGTAGTTCAGCTTTGGCTCAAAGACTTTCAGATAACGCACCTTCAGCCCAGAGGGCGCAAATGGGACCTAATGAACAAAGGAAAGGTAGCAAATCAAGTTGGAACACGGCGATAAGATACTCTCCATACACAGCCACCTGAGGACCTCTAGGCTAAGCAACCAGAAACTCAGGACTCAAAGAGCCACCCCTCCCCACACGCATGGTGACAGACCCCAGTGGCTGTAAGGACAATACTCTTCTACTAGCTTTGACACCTGGCTGACCTCACGCTAGGCAGAGTTGCACAACGGCTGGGGACAGGGAGCACTCAGAGCTGTGCAGTTCCCAGGAGGCCAAAAGGGGCTGGGCTGACAAAGCCTCTCTAAGGTTAGCAGCACCTTGGAAGGAAACAGGGACTCACCTCAAAGTTCATGGAGATGGGGGGCCGAGCCCACTTCTTCTTGTCATTGGTGGGCAGCAGCTCAATCTCCGCACTGATCTGGGATTCCTTCATTCCAGCCATTCGTTTTATCCTACCAGAGAAAGCACAGAAGTGACAAGGTGCCCAAGATAGTTCTCCACGACACGTGCTCGGTGCAGACGAAGACTGAGCAGACTGAACAGACTGCCTTCCCAGACCCTCCCCACACAGCACCCTGACCAGCATGCTCACTTACTTCCACACAATGGCATTCTCACTAGCCTTGTACTTCGCCTTCCCTTTCATGCAGATAACCTGCACTCCACTCGTATTGAGGGGTGTTGGGATCCGGACCTGGAAGGCAGAGGATAGAGAACAGAAATCATACTGTAGCAGGGGCACTCACTTCTTCCACAGCACAGCAGCACCACCACACATCCCTAAGCACTCAGTTCACTTCAGTCCTGTGCAAGTATGAAAACTCTTTTGTGAGGACAACACAGCAGGGGACAACAAGCAGAGAGACAGAATAGGCCCACAGCTTACCTCTATCTTCTGGGCCAGCAACGAAGGTTTGAAATTTGATTTGATCACCACCTTCACTTCCAGTTTGGTCCGACCCACCTCCCGCACCAGGGGGATCACACGGAAAGGAAGGATGATGTCCTTAGTGGTTCGGTATCTGCAGGTACAAAAGGAGGAGTTAAACTCCCTCAAGCTCTCAAATTACACCAACTTCCTACAAAGACAGCCTCTGCACGCTGAGCATGCTAGCAAGCAAACAAAGAAAACCACACGGCTATGTTTCTACCGCATCTGTAAGATAAGAACTTACAGAACAATCTACAGATTGCACTTTGCAAAGAGAGAAGGCAAGTGTAGCATGGTCTAGTGCTCGAGGACTGCAAGTCTGCCCAAGACCAGCAGCACCACTGCAGCAGCAAGCTGCCAATGCCAGCCTGGCCACCCCCCACGCCGTACCTCATGAGCTCAAACTCTCCATCCGGTGGAATGAAGCTGATGCTCCTCTCAGAATCAAACTTGCTGAGCCTCACACACTGGTGGAAAGTGCAGTCATCGATGGCGATCGACTGTTTGCCACTAAAACACAAAAGAGAGTTAAACAGCTGCAAGCTACAGCCCCTGTACCTTGGCACAGTTGAAGTTTGCTCAGGCAGAAACTATTCTACAGAGCGTGTTGCCATTGCAGGTGTCCAGGAAATGGGGAGGCAGGGAGAGATTTAGGGGACAGCAGCCTCCTGCCTCAGACTTCCCTTGCTTTACCACTAAAGTCATATTTCAAGGCAATTGCTTGAAACAATTCTCCCCCTCCTCTCCCCAAAGCCGAGACACTTCTGTTGCAGCCAGAGGAACACGATGCTCAGGTCTGTCTGCCAGCAGCACCTCGGTGCTGCAAGGGAACTCTGCTAGCCCAAGTCTTCTTGCAGCACAGTAACAAGAAAACACTTTCCTGTCCACAAAGCTATCCCACTGCCACAAGCTAGGAGATGCGAAGTTTAGGCTCTTCTTGTTTGGAAATCTCTGCAGAGCTGTTGATTTCTACACTACTAGCAAGTGATCTGATTCCAGATGGAAGCCCTTGTTCTCAGGCCAGCACAATAATCAACTTGCTGAGGACTACAACTTGTGCTATGATATCTAATCTACCCAGCTATCATCTATGCATTTAGGTTCACCAGTTTAGCCTGACAGCACTCAGCTTGTGTTGAATTCCAGTAGCTAGGAAGATATTCTCAGGGCTAGGTTCTACAATTAGCTAAGAACTCATTTTGTCTACTAAAAGGGACCATAAAAATGAGAATTCAGCTGGCATCAGAAGAGGTAGAAGTACAGAAAAGTGCTGCAACACGGTGCTGTGATACCTAGGCTGCCTCAACTGCTACAAGCAACAGGGTGACCGTGCCAGTGTGCAGACAGTATACATAACAGGCAGGTTCCTAAGAGCCACCATTACCTGCACAAGTGGGAAGCAGACTTACCCCAGGCTGACTGTCTGATCAGTTTACACAAGCCATTGGTGTAGCTTGTGCCTCACAAGTGGGAGTCAGTCATTCCTGCTCTGTTGCCCAGTCAACATCAGCAGACAAGTTCCTTGGTTTCTACAGAACACTGTAGGGAAAGCCACACTGCCTACTAGTGCCCAGGTCTCAGGCAGCATTAGTTGGGATGTGACACTGCCACATACCACAAGCCAGAAAGCAACTGGCAGCAGCTGCTCCTTTGGGTCACCTCTGCTAAATACTTCTAGACAGTGACATCTCCTGCCTGTTGCCTGCTGGAGGATCACGACTGGGCAGAACCACCCAGCAAGAATCCCTGTCTGTTCTGCTTCTGTAACTGAAGAAATTAGCACACTTACACGTGAAAGCACTCACAGCACAGCAACTCTAGGCAGTGCTGCTGACTCTTCAGAGGCCTACACAGGTATTTTACCTAGGGTATTCCCCCACCCACTTGAGGCTCATTCATTTTATTAGCTAGATTCGGTTACAAGAAAGACAGCTTAAAAGTGACAGTGAAGTGATAGCTCTTGGTTTGGTTCTGAGATAAAAGGCAAATAGCAGCTCAGCTGTTTATGGGAACCATCTAGGAAAGTGTCTGAGGTCTGAATTACATGCACAAGTCACACAAAGCAAGAGACAGGGAGAAGAGCAGAGTGCACACAGTTGAAGCAGATTATCTACCTTCCCAATTCACTGGGGGGTCAGCAAAAAAAAAAAACAAACAAACAAACAAAAACAAAAAACAACAAACAAAATGACAAAAGAAACAGCTCAGTCAAAAATGGTTAGTGGGAGAAAAGTGAGTCCCTTTGCTTCCCCCTCTTTTCCTGCCCTCCTGTTCGAGAAGAAGGCATAAGACCCATCTTCAGCTCTAAGGTGCATACTGACTGAGGCATATTTGGAAGGAAGGCAGCTGGGCTCCCAGAAGTGCTGAGTCTCCAGCCCATAGAGCCACCCGTGTGACAGCAGCAGGCGCTTGCACATTAGCTTGTCCACCATTCTGATCTATAAAAACAATCCGGGTGGAACAGGCTACTGTCAGAGGGGCTCCTTCGCTGTTCCTTGGGAAGGCTGGCTACAACCTATAAGAGGATTCTGTACTGACTACAGCTGCTAAAGACCAGCTCTGGGAGAATCCACCTTGAGAGAACATTCCCAGATACAAAGAGCCCATACTTATCATTACGCTTGAGTTTTAAAGATGACAGCCCAGAGCTGCTGTTGTACAGACACGAAGTCAGTCACCCAAGACATGGAAGTCATTCCACATTCTCACATAAGTCATGCTATACAAAAACCTTCTGATCTGGGCCCCTAAGTTCAGTAGCTCACATAGCAACAGACCTACTCACAGAAAAATCAGCAGTGACAGCTGAAGGGAAAAAAGGTAAGTTGCTTCTGTCAGATCAGACACGCTACCAAGCATTGCCCTCTCGTAACAGTCCCAGGTGGCAAATACCTTTTACATGCCTCTCACCTTTTCCCCGTTTCATCCGCAGTCCCTTTGCCCTGTTTTTCAATGACAATCTTGTCATTCATGCCAAACTTGCACTCTGGCATCCCACTCAGGTAACTCTTCATCACCACTCTGCCAGAGACGTGGGCACTCAAAACCTGACCTGGAGTAGAAAAGAACACAGTTCAGAATACTTAAGCACTCAACAATTCCTCAAACCAGGAAAAAAAGACAGCTTAATAGCTCCCACTTACCTTGGGGGGACATCAAGAGGTTCACACTCTCCAGCACATCAAGGAAGAGTTCATTGCGACGATATTTGATCCCTTCACGTCTCCACCCAATCTGTCCAGTCACCTGGCTGGTGATCTGGGACTGCTCTTCCTTAGTCTGAAGGGAAAGAATCACACCCTAAGACTCTAGATAAACTGAAGGACTAAGAAAGCTTACCATAAACCAAAAAGAAAGCACTTGCCATTTACAGTACACAAATACTTTTGATAAGTAAGACTTCAAGCGTAGTGACACACTTGACAGTGTCACAAAAGCATTCCTTCCTCGGCACAGGAATCCTACGCCAAACTAAACATTAGTCAGAGACAGCAGGAAAGCTGCTTCCATTTTGTTAGCTGCACGTTAGGCCACATTTCGGTGTGAGGAGAACTGGGCTAAACTGATGACATTCAAACCACACCTGACACGTCAATCTATAAGTGAGAGACACGGGGCAGTTTGCACCCTTACCCAACGTAAGACCCTAGGGCCATGAGGCAGCTGGTACCAATGACTGCAGCCATTATCATGCCATTTGGGACAACAGTTGTGCTCCAGCACTAGCCTAACACACACCTGACAGCATCTGTGCTCTAAGCCTCCTACGAGCATTAAGGAGTGTGCTGAGAGGCACCAGCAGGTTTCCTACCTGATGCTATAGGCGGGGTCCAATCACACGCAGAAAGTGAAGAAGTAGATGTAGAGCAGCAAGTGTGGTGTACACAGGGTTAGACAGGCAAGCAGGTCAATAGCAAGAGAAGGAGGAAGGGAGAAAGAGGCAGGTTAGGCTTAAGGCTACCTCAGGGCAGGAACAAAGCAGGCCAGCTCGTTGCTAATTAGGTAGCAAGTCAGCACAAACAAGACAAGCAGCTTTAACCTCTAGCTCAGAAAGCACAGCAACCTTCCTAGCAGTGAAAAGTCTTTTCAGACACGGCCCATGACATACCACCCCAGTGCAAAGTAGAACAGAGGAGACGAGCCAAATACCACTCCCAGTAGTGGACTCCACTCCTAAAGCAAGCTGTGGGTGTTTACCACGGCACAGATGCCTGATGTCAGGACATGGCACCCAGGGCTGCAGGCATCTTAATAAAACCCAGTTCTGTAAGAAGTTGTGTCCTTGTCGATCCGGCCTCTTCCACCAGAGTGGAGTAGAATGGCAAGGTGGGTCCTTCCCCGGCAGCCTTGCACCGGGCCCACAGGGTGGCAGCACACGACCACAGTTTAAAGCCAGTGGTGGCTTTGTTCTCACCAGGGTCGGTCACTCCTTGAGCAAACAGAGCCATTATCAGAACGCTGACAAGGGAGAGTGTTCTGTACTCCACTGGGAGCTGCCTAGGCAAGTATTCAGTGCAGTACGAAATATTGCTCCCCAGACCACCAGCTCTGGAAAGACCACTGTAACCACAAAACGTGGAGTATTCAATTATTCACTGAAAAGGAAAAAGGCTGAGTTTAGAAATTCTGCCACAAATGCAGATTTTGTTCCTTTAAGTCAGCGGGCCAAGGAAAACATCATCATGAACTAAGCAGAGATAAAAGAACACGGATAACAGATGACCTGGTCCCAGATTTTAGCCTGACCTATCTGTCAGAAATTGGCTGTATGTGAAAGAGGAATTTGAGGCTCGATGTGCCAGAGTAAATAGCAGACATGGAAACATGGAAAATTCCATTTCCATTGCTCCCCCTGAAATACTACGTCTGGAAAGGATTGCTTCTGCTCTTTTTGAGCTGGGATGCACAGAACTCCAACAGAGCAGATAGCTGTGGGCTGTGATTTATCAACAGCCATAGATCAGAACTCCTCTCTAAAGGGAAAACACCAAGCCTATTATTGAGCAAGGTAAGGTGCCCTGGCAGTAATGTGCACACAAAGGGCTTGTAACAAAAACAGACAACAGCAAAATAAATAGGGAAGGAAGTGAGGGTGGTAGAGCTTTGCTAGGAACAGGAGCTGACTCAGCTGCCTTGAGTGCTGACCATCCAAAATGTCAGACTGCAGAAGGCCAAACAGATTTATGCTAGGATTCTGAATAGGAGACTGGGACCGGATGCACTCACATCTGGCTACTGATACACACGTGCCCTCTTGCAAAACACTGCTGTTATAGCAGAACATATGCTGCTCAGAGGCAGCTCCTCTCTCTTCCCCTCAGTTTCTTGAGATACTGAGTCTTACTTAGAAGACTAAAAGGAGTTCTTAGGAAGTCAGTGCTAATAAAATAAGCTAAAACAGAGCCTACAGAGTCTTTGACCTCTGCTTATCCTCAGTCACCAGGCAGCCTCCTGCTGAACACTTCATTTCTGCTAACACCTTGGGGCTGAAATTTCATACAGATCTACTTTGCAGACAGCTTCAGACTGACTTCCAGCTTCTCCTTGACTCACTTACTAAATAGATGATAGAACTGAGTATTAGGTTAAGTCCTCATTATGAGTTGCATGGCTTTGTTAGAAGAACAAACAAGCAACGTGCCCCAGGAACACAAGAAACAGTAACTACAGAAGTCCTTTTGTTTCACAGATGTTGAACATGAGTTGGGATGAGAAACCTAGTTTTGAGGAGCAATCTGCAGCAATAAGAGCTAGTTTGAAAAACATTCCCTCAACAGTCCAACTTGTGTCTTTTTCTCCTCAGGAGCAATTTATCTTCTAGCCCCACGTAAGCTTTGCTGCAAGAATTACTATTGTAACAGATGTGCAGTGGAGAATCTCACCTCTAACACGAGAGATCCCAGACTGCAAGGATGCACCTTCAGCAACAGAGTAACATCACCTTCCTGACTGCCAGCAAGATCCAGAAGGCTGAAGAATGCTTCATTTCAAAGACAGGCACGAAAGCCTGATAGCTAAAAGCAGCAAAGACTTGCAGAGAACAGGCCTGCTCAGTGAGAGCCATGCACAGGACAGCTATTTCTGGTTCAGCAGGCAGATGTGTTTATCCTGTGTCAGAAGGTGACACAGATCAGCACTTGAAGGCAGTCATCATTTACAAGCGAGGGACTGTCACCACCCTAACACAGGGCCCTTCCTCTCACATCTCATCAGGTGTCAGACAGCGTGGTGTTTCTCAAGTGACTCTGGCACCTCCACCCAGTGCAGGTCAAACAGCTGGGTAGTTAGCTGCACTTTCTCGAACGAGTTTACAGAAGATTAGCCAGCAGAGCAATGCTGTACCCCAAAATCCCTCTGGTTACCTGACTCTTGATGCCTTGCTGAGTGATGAAGGTCTTCAGGGCCCCCGTTTCAGAGTTCTGAGGATAGCCAAAATCCAGGATTTCTACAAGAGAGTAAAAGACAATCAGCTCAGAGCCACCAGCCAGAAGTGCAACAGAGACACGCCAACAACATCAACAACCACAGTAAGGAAAGGGTTACAGAAGAACCAAGTGCAAAATCATACAGCAAGCTGAAGGGAAACATCTCACCGTCCAGCAGCTCATAGATCAGCACGAAGTTGTTCTTTATGTTTTCTTCACTGATCTTTCCGAAGTAAGCAGTCATCACGTCACACATCTTGTACAGGAACTCAAACACCATGGCAGCGTTGACGTTCTGCTTGGTGACAGCAGCCAGCCAGATGTTGGAGCGTTTGACGTGGAAGAAACTCGTGCGGGCGATGTTGGTGACCGGCGAGCGGACCTGCTGCCGCGCGTGGATGACATTGACGCGGAAGGCGTCCACGGCATTGCGCCTACGAGGCCACAGAGAAGTCACCACCACGTGCACAGAAACAGGCAGCTGCACAGCTCTGCTTACGTGAATACAGTCAGACATCGAGCTAATGCACCCGGCTTCCTTTGGATAAGTGCTGGGGATGTCACAGCCGACGGGGACAAATGAAGGCTCTGAGCAGAGTTGGACGTTAAAACTCTGTACGGACTCGAGGAAATAAAGCTAGTGGTCTCTGCAGTTTTGTATGACAATTCTAATTGCAGGCAGAAAGAGAAGCTAACCCCATCTGGAGTTAGATGGCAGAGAAAACCTTCCTTCTGCTTATTTTGCTGATCAATTACCATAGCCAAGAATGAACACTAAAAAAGGCTGTGGCTCAAAGAAGAGTCTGGTTTTGACTGGGCTACTTAGTGTCTAATCTGCACGCCCAGGCCTTCATACTCTTGCCCCAAAACAAAGCTGTAGTCTCCCCTGATAGGACAGTTCCCCCACATACACCTCTAAGTTCAAAAAACTAGGATAGCTGCCCAGGTCACCCGATAGATGTCAGTGCCTGCACACACCACAAAGGGTGATTTTAATTCTCAGATTCATCTCACCTCCACATCCCAGGTACCATGGAGGGCAGGCTGAAAGCAGCAAGCAGGATTAGGAACGTTTCTGACTTCCCAGTTACGTGTCCTTTCTAGCCTGCTATGCCTCAGAGCAGGTCTCTTGCAGACAGTAGCAGCACTGCATTATGTGCACTGGAAGATCCAGTACCACTTGTGATGGGAAGGAGCCCAGCACAGTGCAGAAAAGGTGCTGTGCAAGTTTTCCCCAGCCACTAACATCATTAATCTGAGCTAGTTTCACTATACACCACCGACAGGGAACAAATCAGTCCCAGCTAAACATGGATGTCTGCATGATACTCTGGATGTCAGCTTTCCCACACTATAGAGTTTTTTCATCCTGTAGCTACAAGTCAGGATAAGCTCCCCAAACTAAGTCAAAATCCACTAATTTTAAGAACATTGGAAGGAAGTCTGAGGGCTTCATGTAACAGGACAGACTTAAAAGCAGTAGTCCACATACCAAGCCAAGACACATCTAGTGCTTTATTACTCATATCCTTCCTTGAGATTACGTAGTACAACAGGGGCTCTCCTCACTGCAGTGTCAAGGGCATGGTACCAATTACCCACACCATGTTTGAGAGCAGGTAGCAGTAACACCCTTGCAAGCAAGGCTGCACGCAAATGCTCATCACAGTCCAGCAGGCAGTTCCAACTTTGAAAACAAAGGATATTCAGAAGAACATACATTATCATAGTAGGTATTCTTTCCTAGCAGAAGCCTCTTCAGTAAACACCCTCCCTTGTAAGCAAAATTCTGGTGTTCAAATATCTCCCAGGCTTTACAGCTCCAGAAGGCTTGTAAATTTGATTTAAATTAGTATCTGCTTCCCTCTCCCCCTTACCCCCCTCCCCCAGAAAGTAGTTAACCTACTGTAGAACAAGATCTAGAAGTCCCATTCCTCCCCTCCAGTAAGCTTTTCAAGGAAAGTTCTGCTTTCTCTGAGTGGCAGCCCTCCCAGCCTCAGGTCCTAACCCACTAGCATTAGTGCCAGAACCAGCAGTCAGACTGGTGTGTGCTACAGGAGAAGCCTCGGGTCAGTGAAGCTTCTCTAGCACACTGACTGCCCACTGCAATGCCAGTCATGGCCTACCACGCGTCTCTTACCTATTGCTACAGCAGCCAATGAGATGGGATGGACAGAAATGGCGCCAGCGGAGAAAGGAGGAGTGACAGCAACAAGAGAAAGGGTTAGAAACACACACACAAGGCACAATGAATCCAAAGAGATAAGGAGAGACCAAACAGCACCCCCTCCCCCTGGGCACAGAAGGCCTAGGAAGTACTGGCTGGGAAGTAACAAGCTGTGGCAGCAACAAAGCCCTCGCATGGCACAACACAGACACGCCATGGTCAGACTGCCAGTGTCACAGACTGGCGTTTGGTTGAATTTCAGGACTAATGGGGCCTTTAGTCCACATCACATCTCGGATATCTAGGCTGCTCTGCTAACATGGGGCATGCCTCGGGAGGAAAAAAAGGAAAAAAAAAAAGAAGTGAACCCTCAGTGTGAGGCACAGCCTAGAGATCACAGAGTCCCAGGTTTCCTTTTTCTGGTGTGCCTCATAACAGCTGCAGTCTGAGCGGGCATTGCTATGGCACTGCTCTCATCGGAAGCTGTTTGGGTTGATGCCTCCTGGGTTGGTCCAGCCACCAGGAAACACAGCGAGTTAGACAGAGCTTGGAGCACAGCTGGAGAGATATGGCACATTTCTCAGATTCAGACACTGCTCGATCCAGCTTGCACTTTTTCCTTAAGGATCAAGAGCCATGAAGCAGAAATGATGTATTAGAAGCTCAGAAACCAAATTCCTATTTAAAGTGCATGCAGTTTGTCATGTAAGCTGCTCAATTTCAAATGGCTTTTTTTTTTTTTTTTTTTTTTTTTTTTTTTTTTAAATCAAATAGCTGCATTTTTAAAAGCAGGTGAGTTCTCCCAGAGACAATGTCACTGAGAATCAAGACGTTTATGGTCACAATAGAGCCCTCCATGGTATCCTGAATTAAATGCGTGGCACTTTGCTCATATCTTTAAGAGGCTGTTCATGCATGCAACTAGCTGCTGCACAGATAGATGCACTACATGCACTGAAGCCATTCTCCTAAGCTGCAAGCAAAGATAGCCCAAATTCTGTGGGGACTGTTTTCTGCCTATATCAAAGTCAAGGGAAGGACTTCTTTGAATGCCACTTTGCTCATTTGAGCTAGAATGTGCTTATTTAGACCCTTTAACTACGCAATGGGAGATGCTCTCATTATCATGGATAGCTTTTAATCTCTCCCAGCACACAGGCTGAGGCTTCAGAACATCAAAGGCAAGTGCCAAGACCAGGGAGTCTTACAGGTCACTCACTCCGTACCCCTATGAAGATGACAGCAGCTCTGCCTATGTCCCATTCAACCTACCTCCCTGCAAGCCAGATGGGCTCAACTCCCTGCACTTCAGATCCATCAATTAAGAATTAAAAGACTGCAGTATTGTAGAAATCTATCAGATGCTTGCCTTAGAGACAAACCTCCACAGAGGAGAGCATAAGCTCTCCCTCTGAAGGTGAGGCAGGGCACTTAAAAGCTTCCAAGTATGCCTGGTATTGATGCTCACATTCAGAAGAGGAAATAGTGGATATCCAACTTCACTTGCTTGCTGTAGAGCTCTGATACTGTTACTTGGTATCAAAGTAAGACAAGTCACAATTGTTCTAAGAGCACTTGCTTTTATAAGGTTATGAACCTAAAAGTCACAAACTGGTTTTGAAGGCCAGTTTCAGGAGTCCAACACCTGAAGGAATAAGCTCAATTAACAGCCAGCTCCTGCTCCACCTGAGTCACAAGACTGACACTAAGACACTTTCACAAAAATTGAATGAAAGATTCACTGAAAGCAATACTAACTCCTAAAGTTCTAGAGAACATTTGGATCTTTTGGGCAGCTATAACTGAAAGAAAAAGATAAGACTGGGTCAGGTAGGAAATACAATTTTCTAGTTTTGCCCCACCAGATATGTAATAAAGTACTTCTTATTAAGTCACTCCAGAGGGAGAACGAGCCAAGACAAAAGTTATGGAAGATCACTACATTGAAATATTTAACTCTTCAGCTTATACTTAGAGGGCCAGGATGCCTTTTAAATTAAAAGTGTCAGTTCAAGTACAGAGCAATCGAAGTGCTTTAAGTCTGCAAGCCACAGAAAACCCAAGACCTCACTGCCAGGAACTGCAGCGACAGTGCCTCTAGCCCCACATACAGCACATTCTCAAAATTCATCAATAATCCAACCTACCTTCATTCAGTCACCACAATACCCATTAATTAGGGGAACCTCACAGATCTGGTACAGGAATTGCTCTGAGGAGCTTCAGCTAACAGACTGGCAACAGACTGTTAGAGTTAACACAGCAGAGACAGAAGCTCCATAGCCAGCAGTTCTCTGCTTCAGCAGTACCAACATTCCTCGGCTCAGCTCTCTGTGGAAGATTTGAGGTAGTTTGGCCATACTTTGAACTGCTACCTTGCTCTGCTTTAGTCAGCTTAGAACGAGTCAAGAGATGCTTAAAGCTCACTAGGTGAAGCCTTACTACAGATACCACTGACCACTACTGTCCCATCAGTGAAAATACAGAACCCTTTAGGAGATACTTTTACTCAGCTTTAACCTCCACTAGGCAATTCATACCCAGAAAGGAACTTAAGTGAGCAATGTCAGCCCTTACATGAAGCGCAGTGACGTATCTACGCTTACTGAAGTGTTTCAGAGCTTCCCACAGCTTCAGTTACCTGACACACACCAGGCTGCCGTAGAACTGGGGCACAGAACATCAGAGTACAAGGGTGGCTACTATGAAACTGCTGATAGCATCAAAGTGCCAAAGACCAGAGGCAGTCTTCTGCCTGCACTCAGTACTGGACACCTGAGCTGGAAACTCACTCAGAGCCCTGGTTACAGCACATGGCAGACAGTTCCCACATTGCTCCTCCCTTAATGTTTTAACAACTACAGTGAGGCTGGCAGACTCCTGCAATGGCAGCCTATGTTGTTGAAGCACTTGGACTAACAGCCACGTCTCCAAATACAGAAAGAAGTCCTGGCTTTGCCTGCAGGTTATCCTTTACTGCCATTGGCAGGTGATCTGGGCTTAGTAAGCTCAGCTATTTCAGAACTAGGCCTAGAGCAGCAAGTTGAGTTGCAGTCTTACATGCATGCACAGCTAATGCAGAACAAAGCAGCTCTAGGTTGTTGTCTGCACCAAAGTTAGACAGAAGTGCAAAGAGCAAGGATGCAATGGAAGCACTTACCCAATGTCATCCCGGTAGACTCGAGAGATTAAAACCTCTCCTTTATGATTATAGATGAATAAGCCTCCAATCATGATGGAACTTTAATCTTCTCTTCCCATGTTGGTTAAGACCTGGAGCAAGAGAGCACACATGTTAGGTTGCACGATGACAAACAGCAGGGCCTGGAACCACAAGCAAGCCAGACTCTTTATTTCTACTACAAAGCATGCATCCCTGCAGTGGAGATACAAATTACATCACTGTACAGCAGGGAGATCTTCACAGCAAGTACACATTGGTTTAATCATTGCTTGCCCAGGAAGACTGCTTAGCTTTGAAGAGATAACAGATTCCACAGCAGCAGCCACTGATCTCGTTGCTCCAGTTGCTGGACAAGATGCAATCAAGCTCCTAGAAAGATTTTTCTAACCATTCAGTTTTGCAGATTATTTAAGCAGCATCCTGACCAAGTTCCACACACCCCTGCTTGGGATCACGGCTGCCCCACAGGATAGGCTGTCTTAGTACCTACAAAAAGCTAGCAGTTGTCTAAAAAGCTTGCCTGGCTAATGACAATGGCTTGTTCAGAGTCCTGCTTATCCATAAGCTAGCAACACTGCACATCAAGACCGTAAGTAGTATGCTACTTCAATAAAGCAAAAGGTGATAGGGAACTGTCACAATGCATGTGGAGTCTATGTGCTGCTCTAACTGCTTTCACAGCTTAGAATTGGTATCTTGAGCTTGGGTTCTTGGACTTCATTTCTAAAAGCATCAGCAACTTGCCCTCAAGATAGACAGATGCAGTACAAACTATGATGAGCAGAGGAGAGGAGTCACTCAAACTAAGCTACAGAATACTATGATCTAGCAGTGTTACAGCCTTTCCTGTACCTTAGCAGCAGTGCTGAATAACATCTGTGAGCTTTGCTTCAGAGTCAAAACATAGTCTGCACAACAAGCCATGAGAGCAGATCTCAGTCACGAGGCACTTCAAGCAGGGGTGGTGCCTGAAGTTACCCTCTCAAACTGCTAACCTTCTCTTTCTGTGGATTGCTTTAAGGAGATCTGCACAGCCACTACACCCAACAAAGGCAAACAGCCTCTTTTTCTTCCTCTCCAAAGCGCAGTTACTTTACCAGAGCCATTCCTGTAGTCATACACACTCCCACTTCACCTCAGCCCCAGGCACAATGCCCACTCACACACGTGGCTGGTTTGCTCAGCCCAGGGAAGAGCACTGCACACGTGACAGGGCAGGTCATGTAGCCAGGCCTTGGGACAATCACCTAGAACACGAGATAACCAACCATGCCCACACTGCTGTTTGGGAGATTAGCCTCCACCCACTTGTCTGGGGTGGGTGGAAAGGATAGGGAGGGTGAGCCTAGAAACAGATGCTGAGGGCAAACTGATACTGTTTGTTCAGGAACAGCAGAAATGAAGTCAAAATGACCTTGTCTCAGATCGTCTCAAAGGTCAGAGAAATAGAACACAAAAGCAATGAACACATCAGAACTAGAAGGGCCTCCAGTGCAGAAGCCTGCAGCATTAAGAGGATCTTCTAACTCTTACATTTAAGAAAATAAAGGAGCTACTCGATGGGACTGTAGCTGCAAGTTCTGTCCTAAAACAAGATATATATATATATATAATAGTGAATAACTACTTCTACTTTCAGAAACACTTGAACTTCAACACCAACACTTTCAGCTACCCCAGTGAGCTCTCAGAGAGCCATGCTACACGTACTTTTACACTTTTGGTGTTCAGCTTCACAAGGAAAGAAAATATTTTTTAAATTACCTCTCAAATCAAAACAGTGAGAAAGACAGAAGAGCTCTCAAGGCTCACACACGGCTTTTACTCAACACACCCTGCTGGCTGCATCCCTGGCTACTAAGACTGCCTCCTGCCACTTGTCAGTGGCTTCATGTGGCACTGACATCAACATTCATTCCAGGTAAGAGACAATGATCTCCTTTCAGGCTGCTGCAGCGCTGACTTCCACTCTGGGTATGTATCATTGCTCCCAAAAGTGATGCAGAGTTCTCACATCCTCTTTCAGACCTGTAGAGAAGAGTCTCCTAGAAGCTTATGCAACTGGTCAAAGCTGGATCATATGAATCCTACAAACCCTTTCCAGAAGATTCCTAGAAAGCACATCCTAGTCTTAAATATAATCTCCCTCTTGGGCTTTAATGCTGCTTAAGTTATTTGTTCCACTATTTTTAGCAGAAAGGAAACATCTGCTTTGATGAGCAACAGGATCAGCACATACAAGACAATGCATCTTGCTAGCATGGCAAGCCAAGTACTTTCTGAAAAAAAAAGTATGAATGTTCACTACTGTGCTAAGAACACACAGGAGATCGCTGATGAAGCTTCCTGTTGGAAACCAGAAGCCTTCTCTTGGGGATATCTAGGTGTTTTAGATGTTGACTGAGATAAGGAGACCATCCCTTCTTCTAGGTTAGATGAGAGCACACTCTGCAATAGTTTCATTTAAGTTACAAAGTTAAACATCAGCATTTTTAACTGCATTGCAGTCCCAGGCAGCGGAATCAACTGCTTGCCTGTACTTAGAACAGGCGCCTTAGACGACGAGCAGACACAGCGTTACACAAACATTCTCAGTCTTTAAAAATCCCTCCAAGCCATTCACGACTTTGCAGATCTTCTCCACTGCCTTCAATCAACTCTTTCCCAGAAAGGCATTTTCCTACCTAACTCAGTTCCTCTTGACAAGGAAGCTGCTCCATGCTTTGGTCTTTCTCAGCGCTTCCCTCTGAATGTTTTCCTTCTGGAAGGAAACTCAAAACCACAGAAGTTATTCAGGATGTCAGCAAACCATGGCACAGACAATATAATCACTCTGCTTTGATCTGTTTTCTTGGTGGTTCATAGTGTTTGGCTTCCTAAAACAAACAAAAAGCAAACACCCAGCAGATCACACCGAATTCAGTCTTCAGGATGGTGGATCACACTGCAGGTAAAGCTAGAAGTACCTCAACTCCCTAACCTTCCTACTTCCTCTACGTATCATTATACCTTTTATAAAGTGGAACTCTAAATTCAGGGTGCAAGTCCCACCACTGCCTGTCATCCTCACCTACTTCACTCTTCCTTCTCCAAATAGCTTCACATCTGCATAATGTACTTTTTAAAAGAAAACAGGACTGTTCACCAGGATCACTCTTACTGCAAATCCTCACTTGCTATCAAAGAGGAGCACGCAGAGAGATTTGTTCCCAATCAGCTGATGCACATTAGCTGTGCTATACAGGCAACAGGACCAGGCATTGAGGAATTCTGTGCTGTGAATCCCTGCTAATGTTTCACTTACTACAGGTGCAGCCAAAGAATCAGGACTGCTCTGCCAGGAGGCTTGCTGTTTTTCTTTCATTTCGGTGCAATGGAGCCGTTCCTTCACAGTGTGCTCACGGTGGAAGCTCAGAAGCACTGAGGACACCCCAGCACCACCACTTTTCCTGATCAGATCGGTGCCCATACTCCCTCCCCACTTCAACGACTTCCATCAGCTCAGATCTGCACAGCTGGGAAACTCGAGAGGTGCAATGACTGGCCCAAGGACATATGAAGAGATGAGAAGCAAGCGACACAAAGAGCACCATGCAAGAGAAGTTGCTTAAAGCCTAACAAAGAGAACGGCTCTTAAAGACTACAATGGCCCTCCTTGAAGCAGTTGCAGTGAAAATAAGCTCGCTTTGTTTTGATCCTCTCCTTTGAGCTTCAGAACAAGCTTCCGAGATACTTGTTTCAACTGTTTCAAGGTTACTGTAACGAAGGAGTTCAGTGCTGCACTTCTGACCCACGAAGATCTTCCACCCCTTCTTAAATAATGAGCAAGTTTCGTTTCCAAAGCTGATCTGAAAAGCAGCAGCCCGCCACGGTTAAGAACTGCAGGGAACAGCACTCAGATTAATTTGTAACTGACATTCAGTGACTCAGGGCTGTTAGAATCAGAACGCCCCAGAACAAGAAATCCACCACTGGAGATGGGTTCATCGGCTCGCAGTGCTTGGCAACGTGACTCAGAAAGCTCCCAGTAACTGCATTGCTCAATCGGCTCCAGTGACTCATTCTGCCCCTCTCCACAGCCAGCCCGTCGGAGGGAGGTTGTGCTGCATTGTTTTTGAGTTTCCTCGGGCTAACAGCTCATTGCAAGACAGCTGAAGAGCAAAGCCCAGCACTTCTTCGACTGTTTCCAAGTGCCTGCAAGCCAAGGCGACTAGCTGAAGCCTCTGGCTTAACGGTCTGTCAACCACATTTTCAGAGCTACGTTCCTTCTGTTTCACAAGCTTGAACATACGGCAACCCACTCCACACTGCTAGTTACCACGTTATTTTTCTGGTTATAACACAGACGGGTTTATTTTGGTTAAGGTGCAGAGGAGATCCATCTGAATACTGAATTTGCACCAGCTGGTGACTAATCAGATGGATTTAGAACAACAGTCCTCTTCCAACAGAGCCCCGTTTCTCCAAGCAGCTAACGGCTGGGGCTGGAGATCTGACTGAACGCTGTTCCTACAAATACCTACGGCCAGTTTGCTTCCTGCCCTGCTGCCAAGTGCTCACATTCCAATACGTTTCTATTCCAGACCATAAATAGAAGGCTGAAGCATCCTGAAGAGCATCAGAGCCGGACCACATACTTACATGCACTTACAAACCCACCGGAGTCAAGGCTGTGTGGAAATGCCTTAAGGGAACCTTAGTAGCAAAGTTACCATCTTAAAAGCCTGCTACAAAAAGCAGTAAGTACAAAAGCAGACCGCTGGGATGTGGATTTGAATGCATGTCAGACCTATGCCAGGAGTTCCTTTAAAAGCCAGACTTCTCCCTTTCACACCTACATTGTGCCACACACCTGGAATGCAGCTCGGTGCAGCAGTCCTGATGCCAGGCTGTCAGTAGCTTCAATTCTGAGTGCAACACGTGGCTGGCCTGGGAGCTGCCCATGGACACGAGGCACTAACTGCAGCATCCGCACCAGAAGAAAAACACCTTTCTGCAGCTGCCCGTTCTTTAGGGAAGGAAAGACAAAGCTGAATTTCAGCCTGAGCCCTGGATGCACACAGACATTCAAACGAGCGATCTTCTCCAAAACTGACGTCCCATAACCTGAAGTCTTCCACGCGACACCATTTAGAACAGCACCAGCTTCAGCCAACAGGACAGACGTCACAACGTTGTTACCTGACTTCTGAAAGTGCGTGCACAGAACTGAGCACAAAAAAAGCTGACCTCAAATTCATTGCTCAGGAAAAACAACAAACTGCTACTCAGTTTCCTACAGCAGGATATTTCTCCCAGGTAAGAGGGGCTTGTTCTAGCCCTAAAAGAACAAGGCACTGCCTGGAAGAAACATATCAACAGCAATGTGCCAACAGCACAGCTTACGAGTGGTGGAACAAACATAAAAACTGAGAATATAAGCAATTTTCATTCAGGAAAAAAATGTGGTTGTCTATAAGCCTCCAAAACAGCTTCTCAGAGCCCCCCCAGCACAGTCAGCAATCTGCTGCTGCAGCGTAGGTCTGTGCAGCAAAACCCTTAAGTGCCCTCTGAAAAGACACAGAGGTAACTGCAGCCAAAGAGTAAGTGCTCAGGAGCAGCCTGACAGTAGGACAGCTCTTATACTGCAGCTACAGTTTCTCACTACCAGCCAAGCACCAGCAGCCTCAGAATTTGGAAAGCCTGGTAGCTCTGTGATCACACGAGTGTGTTCATCCACTGATTTTAAAAGACAGCTTTAGGAACTGCTGTATTTCACTAAGTCAGCTGTGAATTTGCCACTCTTGGTACAGTGAGATCTCTCCAGAAGAAGAGGCTTAGCACTACAGGTGTGAAAATGAGCTTGTTATGTGGCCTGCTTAATTACCTTCCACTCAGCCACTGACAGAGCAAACCACTGAAGCCTGACCAACAGATCTATGTGGACTTCTGCACACCTGCAGACAAGCCCACGTCTTGGCGCAGGGCTGTGGCTGATAAGCTGCAAGCATCATGGAGGTTCCTGTGTCATCAAGGACAGTGGATGAATAGTGTGAAACAATCAGCAGCAAGCTCAGGAACCAGCTACTCTGGGATCATCACTGCTATTAAAGGGCTAGGTTTCCTCGCAGCACTGACATCACCTTGAATGAAAAGAGGAGTGTTCATTACGTACAGAGTCCATCTTGGAAGCAGCAACCACAAATCAGTCAATAAGCTGGCAGAGAGCAACCAACCCATTTAGTAGTCTATTAAAAGAAAGTTTGGGTTCTGACTTAACAGTAAGTAAGACTTCTGTGCATTAATGAGCTTATCCAGCTAAGCAGTTTGAGGTACATTAGCTGCTGGAGCTCTCATCCAGGAAGAAGCCAGGAGAGGTACTGCAGCTCTCACAGGACCAAGGGCAAACCCACTGTAACGGTTTCTGCATTCCAGCAGTCGCTATGATCTTGGACAAATGACAGCGGTAGAAGCAGGAGGCAGATTAGTCAGGCTGCTCTGGCAAACAAGCTATTTAGGAAACTAGTCTTTTCAAGCTAGCACTAGCTGTTATCAGACCCAAAGGCTTAAGGCTTACCTCGATGTCATCATGCACCAGCTAATCCGAGCACCTAAGCTTTGCTTACAGTGATGCATTAGCCACTGTCCAGGAGGCCATGGGCCACATCTGGTTTTAAAGAAGAGTAGCTGCAATCCTGGGGAAGACAGGCTGCGTAATTTAATTAAGACACACATCGTGAGCTAAAGAGCTCCAGAGATAAGCCCGTCGGTTTCAGAGGAACTGTTCCTATTTTAAACCCAATCCCATAAATCCCCACAGCCAGTGGGCAGGAAGAGAAGCACGTTGAACTCTTAGCAGGCTTCCCTCCTACAGCCTGCCTCTGCGTGCCGTGCTGCACGCCACCAGCCTAGTGGGAACGAGAGCAGTCCTGACGCAGGGAAACACGACAGGCTCCATTATTCAAGCACCATGCACCCCCTCCACCTTAAAACACATTCACAGCCTTTAACTGTACAAGCTCAGGAAACTGATGCAAGACACCGCACTGCACTAGATAGCTTCATCTTACCTCTGCACCAAGAAGTACTGAAGCCAAGAAAAGTTTAACCAGGGTCATGTGAAGTGACGAATAAAGGCTTTGCTCTTCATCAAAAAACAAACAAAAAAGACACACAAACCCTGAGATACTGTCAAGCCCCAGAAAGAACCTGCTGTTCTCTCTGCTTCAAAAAAACTGCAGGTATAATCCTTTGAACCCTCAAGACTCAACTGTTCAAAGACTAGGAATGTGCTGTCTCAAGAGAGGGGAGAAGCCAGCCACAGTATCCTTCATAGACATCACAAATGGCTGGAAGAAAATATGGCCCATCTTCAGCCCAAAGAATGCCGGGTATCTTTGTCACTAGATGTCAGTAACATGGCACTGCCTACAGAAGAGGAACGATGTCCCTGCTCTGACAGGGAAAATATGGAAGTAGGCAGCTTGGCAGCGCCTCATCAGACTGGAGATTGTCCCTGTGAGCAACTCACTGGAACAAGTCTAGCTTTTACAACAAAAAAGCAGTTACTGCAGTTCTGATGGCATTCACGCTAATGCTGCCCAACAAGACTCACACACCCGCATAAGCCTAAGCGTGAATACAAATCTAACACAACCAGGCTCTGAGCCACTGAAGCCACTCAGATGTGCTTATCTGGGAAAGTTCCAGGCTCAGATTCTGGAAGCCTTAGGCTAAATCTTCGGGTAGCTTTGTCATCCTGGAGTGGGGAGAAAGCAGATCTTGAGACCACACAGCCGATAGGCAGAGTCGTTTCCCAGTGGGGACAGCAGTCAGCTGCACCGAGCAACAAACAAGGCTGCGTTTCCTGCAGCTCTGCAGGATCCAAAGCCCGGCCCGGGGAAGGAAGGAAGAGGAAACGCATCCATAGGAGCTGCTGGATAGGGGCCCACTTTATGCTTCGGCACAGCATCAGCAGAGCCGCTCTGCGTCTCAGCAGGTTTCCCATAGGGGAAGCCGAAGCTGACAAGCCGCGGCCGAGCTAACTTACGTCCCAGCAGCGGCGCAGACGAACGATTCTTGGGAAGTCCCCGCCGATCCGATTAGAGGACCTTTGCTCGGGCTGACCCGGCACGTAGCCGGAGCCCTTCCCCACGCTCCGCGTGCCACAGCGATCCCACCCGAGGCCCCGCGGCCACCGCTTCGGCCCCGCCGCTAAAACAAACGGCCTAGCCCGGAGCGCATCGCACCCCGTCCGCATAGCCCGGCTCGCTGCCCTGCCGCTCCGCGCGGCGCGGCCCGCCGTCATCCCTAGCGTTGAGGGGAGGCGGCCCGGCGCTGTCACAGCCGCACCGCGGAGGGCCGCGGACCCCCGGCCCCGAGGGAACCGACGCCCAGCCGAGCCCCGGCCGGCCCCCAACCCAACGCGGGGACGGAGTCCCACCACCGCGCGGGGAGGAAAAGCGGGCCGCCCGGCCCCGGCGCGGAACGCCTCACCTGCCGCCGCCCGCCGCCGCTCGCCGCCCAGCGCCCAAGATGGCGGCTGCCGCCCCCCCTTCCCTCAGCGCCCCCCCTATCACTGCAGAGCCGCCGCCGCGCATGCCCCGCCCACGCCCCGCTGGCAGTGCGCAAGCGTCAAGAGCGGAGGAGGGGCTTGGCGGCTGGGGCGCGGGAAGGGCTGAGCCTTGCGGTGCATGCTGGGAGCTGTAGTCCTGCGGCGCGGGAAACCGCGCGGGCGTGGTGGGGGGGGGGGGGGGGGGAGGGGGAGGGTTGCAGATAGCCGTTAGGCCTGTGCGTGGGGCTGTAGGACGGTGAAGGGGAGACCGCCCTCCACCCTGCGGGCCTGAAGCCCCGCTGGTTCTCACTGCCCTCTATGGGGCTGGCACCCATGCACGGGCACCCACAGACCACCAGGCCCAAGCCTGCTTCCAGCCCAATGGAGAACGGCCTGAGCACCCCTACCCAGAGGGATGTGGCTGCAGAGTGAGGGGCAGAAAGGAGAGCGAGAAGGAGGAGGCTGGTACAAAACAAAACACAAGGCAGCAGTCCAATAAAACTATGTTTATAAATAAAAACAAGGAGATTGGTTCTGTTCTTATAAAACCCAGGGGGCAGGGCAGGGTGAGGCAAGGCAGCGAGCAGGACCGGGGGGTGCAGGGGGCAGTGCCATCACACTGCGTCCCATGGGCACGGGGACAGGCGTGAGGGTGCGGGGGGGAACATGGGGCAGGAGGGCACAATTCAGAGCCTAGGAGCAAAATACATTTCATCTCTGGAGTATAAAAGAACCGCAAACAGAAAGAGTGAAGGAGATGACGGGAGGGCACTGAGGGTGCAGGCAGCCATGGCCACACTCCTCCTTCCCACAACCCAGCAGGAGCGGAGAGGAGCGGCTCTGAGCATCCATGAGAGAAGGAAGAAGGATGAGGAGGGTTGGAGCAACTGTGTAGCCCAGCAGAGCTGCAGCCCCTGCCCACAAAGCTCACATCCCTCCCAGGCATCATACACAGGGAATGGAGCAGGGTAAGGCCAGCGCTGTCCCTCTCTGCAGACAAACACAGGGGACCTCTGTGTTCCCCCAGGTGTGCCTTCCCTCACTCATTGGCTGCATTCTCAGCTCTCAATGAGGTCCGACTGCTGCATGGCAAAGCAATGGTGGTGCCACAGCTGCCCCAAGGACCGCCCCTGCAAGTGACTGGGGGCAAAGAGCAGGGCAGAGGCCCCCTGTAGGCTTCTTCAGGTCAAGCGAGCACTCGCCCCCTGGCCCCATGTCCCACAAGTCCCATAAGGCAGGGAGCACGGCCCCAGTGCCAAGGACAGGGCAGGGGGAAGGACGGCTCTGCCCCAGGCAAGCCTGGCCCAAGGCTGGGGCACAAAGGGGAAGCAAAGGGCAGCATCTCCCCATTCCCCACAGGCACTGAAGCCCTGGAACATTCAAGCATTGGCTGAAAGGCAACTACAAAGGGATTTAAAATTCATGTAAGGCTGGGCCCGGCTCCCTTCTCAGGGCATCTTCCGCTAGGGGGAGAAAAGCAGCCATCTTCAGCGCCATGCGCGCCCAGCGCCCTTGGAGCTCCGTGTCCTCCTGTCGGGCCACGCCACGCTCCAGCTCTCCCCCCTGTGGGCGGCAGGCTCAGAGAAAGTCAAACACCCCGTAATTCTTTGCTGCTTGATAGAAGAAACACAAAAGGGTGAAAAGAAAGAAGAGATGTTTAGGGCGGAAGGAGTGAGGCAGCAGCGACACACGGGCAAGCAGCACAGGGTGCTGGGATGGATGCGGATTAATGGGGTTAGAGAGGATGGCAGGAGGGAATTACCATCAGGAGGGAATAACCATCAGCAATACATGAGTCTGGTGGCGGGATGGGCTGGTGGTACGCAGCAGGCCTGCCAGGACTGTCCACCCCACTTAAGGAGGGATTAGAATCAAGGTTTAGTTCCATTTATTTTTTTTTCCCTTTTTTTTTTTTTTTTTTTTATTTTTAAAAACAAAAAAAAAAAAAAAAAAAAAAAAAAAAAAAAATCCCAAAAAACAAGGAGTGAAGCCAGGGCTGGTCCTAGGAGACAAACCATGGGGATGGAGGGGGAAAGGAGGGGCAGCAGACAGACAGGGGACGGGCGCTTCACATTACATCCACAAAGAACTCACTGGGGTTGCCCATGGCCATTCGGAAGGACTGTCTACTGGCTGTCAGTTCGGGGGGCACAGAGGCCAGGTCACGGCCCGGTGGCGCCCCAGGGGGCCCCATGGCTGACGGCGGTGGAGGCATCAGCAACATGGGGGGGCTGAAGAGAGGGGGGAGGCCGGGCGGGCCGTATGACTGCTGGCTGTGGTGGCTGCGGATGCTGTGAGCCAGAGAGTGCTGGCTACGCTGGCTGTGCTGGCTGGCAGGCACCGAGCGCTCGCTGGCCGCACGCTCACGCCGCATGCTGCTCCTCGTGGTGTGGTCTGACTCGCTCCCGCTGCCGCCGGACTTGGACTCCCCGGTCTTCTCTCTCTCCTTCCTCCTCTCGCTGCCACTGCGATTGGAACCACTGCTCCGGCTCCCTGCAAAGTACACATGGCGACGTTAGGAATCGGCGGGGACAAGCCAGGAAGAAAGGATGCTCCTCTATCCAAGAGAGGATTTGAGCACAATGCAGCACTGCCATCTGTCTGCACACTCCATGCTCTCAGTCTCTCAATGCTGAGTCACATAACCCTTCTGGACTGCACCAAAATTAAGGCTTTTATACTTGCTTCCCCCAAACATAAGGTGCTGCCTAAAGGAGCAGCCTTCTCCTGCTGCATCTGCCCACACAGGCACATTTTGATATTTTCCACTCACCTTCACTGTGCTGGCTGCCTGCACTGCCCCCTCCGTAGCTGTAGCTTGGGTCAGGGAAGCCGGGATGGGGGTTGTATGGGTGAGGTGGTGGATACTGATATGGGAAAGCCATGGGCCAGGGTGCAGCTCCTGGGTGTGGGAGCGGAGCCAAAGTGTCCTGATCTGAAGCACCACTGGAGCCATCATGATCGTGAAGGGACAGGTTAGCCATGTCTGCAAGAAACAGAGAAGAGAGGCTAAGCCAAATGGAAAGACAGCCGCATGTGATGCTGAAGCTCTATGTCCACCCTCACAGGTGATAATGATGGGGCACGAAAGGGGATTAAAGAGCTCAGCACTCTCCCTGCCATGAAATACAAGTATTTGCGCTTCCTGGCTGGAAAACAGTTTGATCAAAACCAAATTGCCACATCAGAAAGGACCACATCATAGCTATCTTCTACCTCACCAATTAACTCCCCCTACCTGTCTCATTTAAGTAGATCTCAGCTGTCTGAGCACCAGCCCTTTCCAACCCTGGCAATACAGGGCCTTGAAATAGAGTAGGAAAAGACTAAGATTATGGAGGTGAAATGATCACAAAGCACGTGACACTGTCAATGCTGCCTCCAACCTCACAAACAAATTGAGCTATTCTTCATCCCACCCTACCAGAGTCTGCAGAACAAGGAGCTCAGTCTGGTGGTAATAACTGTAGGTGTGCACTCATGTTGTTAGCAGAGCCCTGCAGGGCTTTGTCCCCCTTCATCTCTTCCCTCCCACCCAGGCCAAAAGTCAAGTGTCATACTTCCGCAGAGGTCCCCGAAGATATAATAGCACTGTTCAGAGAAGGTGATCTTGTTCACGGTGTGTCGGATGTAGCCAGCTTTCAGCAGATTGCTGGCATATTTGCGGGACTCACGGCGGTCCGTAAAGCCTTCCACGTGGTGATACAGCCAGTCCACCACATCCGAACCTGCCACCAAACATCAGAGTTAAATACGAGAAAGAGGAAGACAGTGGCCCTTGAAGCAGTGGGCCATAAAGTTGGTTAAAAGCATAAAAAAGGGACTTCACAGCCAACGGTTCAACCTGTGACAATGGCTTTGTTAAGTCAGTTTACACTGAAGAGATGCTCCCTTCATTCATGTTTTCTTGGGAGACAGACCACCCACCCCCCATCTCCCTGCCTCTGCTGGAAGCAGCACAGTCTCTTACCAATGAAGGCATTGGGGATGGTGATCTTCAGCCACATGCGATCACGCACCTCCAAGCCTGACTCTGGTGAAGCCATGGCTTTGACAATGGTGGCCATGTCACTGTGGATGGACAGGTGAAAGTCATCGAGGCCTGTGACAAAGGGAAGGGAAGCAGAGATGAGGAAAGACAGAAAAGACAACAGGGCCAAATGGAAGAATCACACACATGGAAGGAATGGGCCAGGGAACAATACATCATAGACAGCACTGTGGTGCACAGCAACATAACCCCCTTCCAGTTTTCACATGTTATCCTTCACAAATCAGTCATTTCTTAACGTGCAGAAAAAGTCTCCTTCCTTCCAGCCAGTCCCAAGCAGCTAAGATCAGCTAAGATCCCAAGCAACTGCCAACAGAGCCTAGCATGGGAATTCACTGCTCCTCATAAACTTAAACTTCTGTCTTTTTGGCCCAGATGAGCTCTTTAGACTCCTGCTTCAGGGCTCTGCAGACCAGAATTACCCAAAAATCTTGAGAAAGCAACCAAACCAGCCATGTATTCTGCAGGTCCCTCCCACACTACAAGACTGTCCTGCCCTATTTGCCCTCTGGGAGGGCCTTGCTCCAGTGACAAGGTTAACCCCTCAGGCCTCACACTGCCAGGTGGAAGGCCCCAAATGCTCTTCTGTGCTTCTGCCACAGCTCCTGGATTGCATCCATGATCTTCTACTCTCCTTAAGCAGAAGACTGAAGAACGTGGTTTAAATTCACCCAGCCAGATCTCCCATTGATCCAAGCACCTCCCTGATGAGAGCCATCTCCCACCCCCTTCCTTGGCAGCGCAGACCGTGCCCAGCCCAGCTGTCCCCAGGCAGATGTATTGCTCCCCTCAGAGCACAGTGAAGGTGTGGAAGCTGTGCAGCGGGAGGAGCACGGAGGCACAAGGACTTACGTTCAGTCTCTGGGATGGAGCTGGTGATGGAGGAGCTGGTGGAAGTGATTGTGCTCATGGATGGACTCATACCGTACGCTGGGTAGGTGCCAGTCATCGCTGCCGTGTGAGACACCCAGGCTGCTGGGTCAATGGGCCGGATAGGCTCACCTGCAGCAAAGAAGTCAGTTAGCAACTATAAGAAATTATCTCCTTATTCATTCAACCTCACGGGAGGGACAGGGACTCAGCACAGCCCATTCCATCCCCAGTATCTGCCGGGACTCACCCGGATCGGAGCATGGAGAGTCTGGCCCAGCCCAGATCCGCTGGGGAGCAACTGGGAGAGAAAGAAGAGAGGGAGGGTCAGCAGGAGAGGTGCAGAGGGAGAGATCCCCCTATGGCTCAGGGAGGGGTTTCTCTTTCCTCTGGCGCTCCAAGCAAGTGACCTCCCTGACCCAGTGAAACGCGTCCCCAGCGTGATGTGGGAATGAGGGCTGGGCCTGTGGGCATTTTGGACTGGGAAATGCATAGCAGCCTCCCTACAGGAGAGCTGAAACCCCATCAAAACCCAATTCAGTGTCATATGGAGCCACACACACACACACAGGAGGAACAAGACAACAACCAAGTAAGTGCTTAAGGCAGGGCTCTCACATGAGCTGGGCACCAGCGTTAAGGGTGAGTCAGCTATCCACTTACTCCTGGGTAACGAGAAGCAGCCCCGGGGGCTGGGGTCCCAGCACTTGGCCACCGTCAGGGTGATGGGCCTGCAGCAAAAAAGGCATAAGTTAGAACAAGAGCCTGGTGGCACAAACCTCTGTGTGATCCATGGCATTTGCTGTATGCTGGCTCTCTACTGACAGAGAGAAATTGCCAGCTCAGTGCCCTTGCTTCCTTCCCTCCCTCCCGCTCCCTCCACTTTGGCTACAGGTTTCCTTAACAGCACGGACAGAACAACATGGCAGCAATAATCCCACTGCTAGTCAGCCAAAGCAAAAAGACAACACAGTATACCCAGAAAAAGGGACACACACCACCACTGTGATGGCTCCAATTCCTGCTCTGGGCATGAAAACCCAGAAAGCAAAGCAACACCCAAATCTTAAGTTCTGAGTTCCTGCCAATCTGCTGGCAGAGGTGGCTGGAAGATGTGATTCACACACCCCAAGCACACACTGTGCATCTGCTCATGGATGTGAGGAGCAACCTGAGTACCTACCCCGGCTTGTGCACAATTTCCCTCAGCACCCGCACAGCATCATCATTGCTCATGTTCTCAAAGTTGATGTCATTCACCTGCAAACAACACAAAGGGGTGAATGTCAGAGATGTGACCAGAGGCTGAGCTCGTCACTCTGCTCAGCAGTGATTCAGCTTCCCTCTTCCAAGAGCAGCTTCCTGAGTTCAGCTTGCTTAAGTGCACAGGGAGGCTTCTGGGTCTTTTCTTACTACTACTCTAGTCTCAAAGATGGAGGTATGTGGGTGTGAAGTACCTGCAAGAGCATGTCTCCCGGCTCAATCCTGCCATCAGCTGCCACAGCACCGCCCTTCATGATGGAGCCAATGTAAATGCCTCCATCACCACGCTCATTGCTCTGTCCCACAATGGAAATGCCCAGAAAGTTATATTTCTCTGCGGAGATGGAAAAAGAAAGAAGTAAAACACTGTGAAGCAGCAGGCATGAGCAGTCCTAACTTCGGACAAACCACGTGCTAATAGTCACTTCTACCCCTCTCTCCTAAAATCCTGGAATGCAGAAAAACTCTTGAGATACCAAATGCTCCAAGACGTGCTATTTTCCTAAGGAATCCATCCCCTCACACTTACTCCTGCGTGTTCTCTTTGCCCCCTTCCCAGTTCCCTCTCCACCACCCATCTTGCGCTGCAAAGACTGCAAGTTCCAGGCACACCTCCTACTCACCCATGTTTAGCGTGACAGTGATGATGTTCAGGGACATGGTAGAGTCTGTGATGCTGCTGAAGGATGATGACTGCAACATAAAGAAAACACGAGATATCACCTGGTGCCTCGCTACCATTCCCAGACCCCACTCCATTCACCTGTACTCCTTTCATGCCCCCACGACACCACAATCACAACCCACAACCCCAGCCTCATGCTGATAGCTTTGTAGAGGCAGGGAGCATCAGCCACAGCCCTTACGACCACTCCACTGCCAGGAGGTCTGTGGTCCCACCTCTTTGTGCTACACTGGCTCCACTGAAGGGTTTACAGCACCATATGAAATCTCACTGCTTGCATTCAACCTGCTCAAGGCGGTGCCCAAAGCAAATGCAGCTGAATCCCTGATCAGCCCCAAAGAACTAAGAGAAGAGATCCAGTAGGCAGCCCACTTTGCCCTGCATTACCCTCCCCAGGACAGCCAGCCCCTGCGTACCCGCTCAATGCGTGGAGCCTTCTGTTTCCGCCTGCGTCGCTTGTGCCTCCTCATTAGACGGGAAGCACTGCTTTGCTCTGTCGAACTGCTAAACCTAGAGGCAAAAGTATGAGTCAGCTCTTCTGCTGCTGGCATGATGGCACTGGCAGCAAGAGTCACAGAAAAGGGTATGTGGAGAAGAGCATGTATGTGGGAGACAGACAACAGCACAGGGACTTGCTGGTCAAGTCAAGACAGCAGCAGGTCTGTGCAAGGACACTGGCACCCAGGATTACTATGCCCTGCAGTGGCATCTCAGTGCTGAGAGGTGGTTGGAAGCCCGTGTTCTGCCAGGACCTAATTTCTCGTACCTGCTGGTGGAGTCATCTTCATCTGAATCGAAGAAGCTGGTGGTCTCCAGCTCACTGCTCATGAGCGTGGAGGAGCTCTCGTACCCGCCCAGGTCTCGGCGCCGCTCTCCCTTCACTGTCCCGTTCACTCTGGGTGCTATGAAACAATGAGACTCAGCATGCTTAGGACAAGAACAGGGAAACAGCCCCATCCCCTCTGAAGGGCTCATGGCAACATTCTCAAAATGAATCCTCCTCAAAATCCCATCTAGTACAGGCCAGCTCTGAGCACACACAAGGACCAGGTTCATTCACTGTGGGATACCTCTTCCACTGCACTAGAGAATGAGGAAAAAGCTGATGGGCCACTAAGAACAAGGCTACTAAAATTGCATAAAACCACTGCAGCTGGTTCTTCGGTAGACTATGGACCAGCACAAAGTGACAAGGCTACAGCACAGTCTGCTTTTCAACTCAGGAGTGAGGTACTGCTGTCTCTCTATTGCTTCTGGAGCACTTCTTACAGGAGATGTCTCTTTTACCCAAAAGATTTTATCACCAAGCTCCGATGCAACACGGCTATTGCTTCAGACCACTGAATAGCCCTTCTGTGCTGAGAAAGTCCTAAATAACAGACAGACCCACCCCATATATGCAGCTGGTGCCCCCGGCTATGCCCAGCAAAGCTCCTGCCATGTTAGCACTCACCATGCTCGGGTCCATCTTTCCGACGAGGTCGTTCCCTTTGTGACGACACCACTGAGTCTGTCTCTGTCTCATTGTCCAAGTTTTCCCGACTGCCCCCAGTATTAGGGCTGCAATGAAATAAAGGGACAAATAGGTCCAGAAATAGCCCAAGAAGGCTCTCTCTACCACTTAGTATAAGCCTGTACTCATCAACTGTTTCCCTCCTCAGATGGGCAGGAGCAGAGGTAGTGGAGAGCAATCACAGCACATCTAGGAGTAAAGGGCAAGGGACTGTGGGAGGATGTCAGCTCTTTCCCAACTTCCCTGCACTACTTTCAGCCTGCCTTTGCTTACTGAATAACACAGCCCCACTTTGAATCTGCTCCCAGTCCCACCATCCTGCCCTATGGCTGGCTGTGATTCCTGCCCATTTGGATAGGAGTGTCCCAAATCTTGCTCTTCCCACCTTGACTTACAGCAAAGCCACCACAGGTCCCTCAGAAACCAGTACAGGTGTCCAGGTAACTTACTGGAAAGAGGGGGGCCTAGAGTCTCCAATTCCTCCCGTGCGTTCCATGGAGGGCGGCAGCTCTGTTTGGTTATCGGCACAGACCGACCCAGCATCTGAATGGGAACCCTCTGCAGATACCAGCTGGAGGGATGAGAGACAGAGGATGAAATGGCTGAGGGAGCAGGAGAACACTTGCAAGAGCAGCCAAACAAGCAGGCTAAAAGCCTGTCTGGCCCAGGATCGGGTATGGAATAGGCCAAGCATGTAGCAATGTTCCCCTCAACACCCTCCCAGACACTGGCTATTTGTGTCTCATGAATTCCTGACCCAGCAGGGTAGCCTGGATGGCCAGCTTAGAGACTGACATCACCTTCACACTCACACTGCACAGTTTTTAAGCTCAGGTAACCTTAACACATACCCTGCAGCAAAGAGTGGATTCCCCTTAGTTATTCTTATGTCAGAAGAAGGCAGCTACCAGTCACTCCTTCCCTCTGTTTTAACCAGCCTCTACAGCTTGGCCTTCAGGCTGTGGGACCCAGAAGGAGTTTCACATCCCCCACTAATGGGAGGTGGGGGTACCAGAGCTCAGGGATGAGGTGTCAGAATTTCTGCACTTTCCCTAGACAGAGTCAAAACCCAGGAACTATTCATACTAACTATGCTTTGAGGCAGTCCAAGCACAGCTACTGCTCTGCCTCTGGATCTAAGATAAATCACCAATTTCAGGGCTCAGGGAATGAGATGGAGCTTCTCCTGGGGAATGACATCGCCAATGGGTGAGAAATCAAATGAAATCAATGAGCCCAGCTGAGCTCAAAGGAAAGTGGTTTCCTCAAAATCATTCCCTATGCAGGTTTGCCCTCTCCCCACCTCCGAGCTGCACTGTGCTGGGTTAATTCCAACTGGGCAGGAAAGCAACAAATAGCCTTCTCCTTGCAAGATACATTCTGGGACCTTCAAAGCAGAGATGAGAGAGGATCCAGGGAATGAGTTCCTGGCGCAAGGATAAAGCTTGCCAGCAAGGGAAGATCAATTTCCATCTTTAAGAGCTTTCCAACACCTCTTCTTTCTTGTATTTGTGTGCACCATGATGTTCCCTGCACAGCAGAGGCAAGCAGTGGGATGACTCTCTACCAGTACTGGGGGGCAGCAGGGCTCTGCACCCTGATCTGCTCCTGTCTGGTTCAGGACAGAAGGATCATCAAATCAGCTGGAAGGGAACTGACAGCTGCTACCTGAACTGTAACACTCAGTGCAAATCATCCCTCTGAGGACTTGGGATGTCATGACAAAGACCCCGCAGCACATCATCAGAGCAGGGAGAGAACAGTCTGCTGCCAGGGAGGCACTGGGAACAAAGAAAGGGATGCCAAGACAGAGCACCCCGAAAACCCTCAGCCAAGGGAGCAGACAGGGCAGAGAACACCCTGGTGTGCCAGAAGCTGCAGAGCCCGTCCTACAGGCCCCGGGACAAGCCCAACAGCTCCTGCCCTCACAAGTGTCTAACCAGCTCTTCTCTCACACCCAGCTCACCCTCCCTGCCTCCAGCATGCCCCAGGCACACACCCAGAGCCCAGCTCTGCTCCTGGCCCCTTCTTATCTTCCCAGGACACATCCCACTGCCTGAGGGCTGCATCCCTGCTCCGGCTGCCACCTCCTGGAAGCACATGGGAGAAGAGATGCTACAAGTGGTCAACACTGCCTAGGGAAAACTGATAGTGTTCTGTGCTTGAAGGCCTTGAGTCAAGACCAGGCAAATAAATGCGGACAGAAGGAGCCAGATGCAGGCAGCTGTCAAACAGCACTGAGGGGGTGTTTGGGAGCAGGGGGAATGCTGCTGCCTTACTCCTGAGGCTGGGATTTCCTGCAGGGAAGGTACTGAAAACCACCCTACACTTTTCCTGCCTCCTTCGCTGTCAGGAAATATTCACTCAGATCCCAGTCCCTATCTTTTCTTCTAGCTAAAATTAGTACCAAGTTCCTAAAATAGCCTCATTCCAGTCTGTCTAGCACAAGCAGCAAAGCAAATGCTCTCCCAGTTCCAAACCACTCAGTGAGACTCAATAAGGAGAGAAAAAGTCTTCATCAGATGTGCACAGAGGTCTCCAAGATCACTATTACCCTCTGTGCAGGAGTGCTGGTGGAGGTGCTGACCCCGGGCACCATGCCTACACACAGCCAACATTTCAGAGGCTGCAGCAGCACAGCATTCCAGCAAGATGAGAGCTCATGCTAATGCTCCATGGGCAGCTGAGACCCATCAGTCCCCTTGAGAGCCACTGCAAGGAAAGCCTGCGGCTGCACAGAGATATGAAGCACAACAAAAGGCACAACGGGTTAAAAAAAAACAAACATAAGCGATGGAAAGGGCTCAGAGCCTCTGGGTTACCCTGGCAGGGCACGTGAAAACAAAAGGCCGCTGGAAATGGAGGAGTGGGGCGATGTCTGGGGCTTGGGCAGCCACTAGAGGGAGGGCAGCACAGCCTAGCTGCTCTGTGTGGGAGCCTTAGCCCCCTGTCCTGCAGCTTGCAGGCAGCTCAGCACTCCTTGGTGCCACCACCATGCCTCGCTAGTTGATGCAGGTATAAGAATTTAGGTCTTATCCAGCCCGATTTGCAAGAGCCTGGATATCTTCCACTGTTAATGGACTATTTGTCAGCACCTGGGTCTTTGTTCTATTTCTGGAGTGGATTCACGCAACCCAATCAGCACAAACTGCAGCTCAGCAGAGGGGAAAAAGGGATGATGACCTGTGGAGACCAAATACCCTCTTCCCCCCTGCAAACAGAGGGTCCCCCGTGGGGCACAGGCAGGCATGCGGACAGGGGGCAGAGCATGTGCATGGCACGGCACGAGAAGCTTGTTCTGCAGCTGCCCAGGCAGTACCTTTAGTCTTCAGGGCAGCCCAATCCAGTCGGCTTCACCAGCACTAGAGTCACTTAAGCCCTTTGTCACCGGAGCAGGACTTTCCTTGGAAAGCTGACCCTGCCATAGGGGCACATGGGTTACAGGCTGGGACCACCACCTCTGCCAAGCAGCCCTTACAGCCAGCTCTTGGCAGAGGTATCCCACATCTTGCCTGGCACAGGAGACCCAGCACCACACAGCGCAGCCTCCAGCAGAGAGTCTGGAGCACAGTAATCCAGTTATCAGCTTCATGAGCAGTTAGCACTTCGACAGTACAGAGCAGTCCCCATGATTTAGTTGGTGCTATGCAATCAAATGGTGGCTTTCATAGAGAGAAGGCAGCAGCAAGATAATGAAGGGACATGCTTACCCACGACACCACCCGGCCATTGAAACAGGGAAGCTTGGCATTGTCATCTGAGATTTCCTCTTTCACCACCCTGTGAAGGAGAGCAGACTGTTAGAATGGGACCCAGATCCCCAGGGAAAAGGTGACCTTCCTTGTGGGGAGCATGCAGCCAACAGCCCAGGCTTTGGGAGGGGACAGAGAGGGGCTGTGTGATCCCCTCTGTGTCACAGCCACCACAGCCAGGCTGGAGGGGAGAAGACCAAGGCAGAACAGACTCCCTTTGGGTACATCCAGCTGTCTTGCTCTGGATTCAGTTAAAAAAAAAAAAAAAAAGTAAAACAAAACAAACTAATAAAAAAAAAAACCCACCCAGATACATATTTCCGCTTACTTCTCAAGAAATGCATAATTTAAACCTCTTTTAAAAAGATCTGAAATCATCACAACCTGTGCCAGAATCATCTAACAGATGAAAGCGAAACACAGGAAACACGCAGCCTCCCAAATGTTACTGTTGCTTTTAAATTACATACACAATATTTCAACATGGCATCAAGCTCTGTAGCTGTGCCGGGATGTCATCTTCCTGCATTACACAAGCAGCTGCACTGCTATCACTCTTCACACTGAAGGAGCACTGATTTCTTTTCCCCCCAACAGTGCAAACATCCGTTTTCTTCTCTGTTAAATATCTCTGGGCACCTAAAGCTTTTCTCCAGTCAGAACCAACTTGTAATATTAGTTAAACATAGTGAATCTATCTTTGATAAATACACTGAGGTGTAGTCATTCCCGCTCATTGCAGGGGAGTTGGACTAGATAGCCTTTAAAGGTCCTTTCTAACTCAAATGATTCGATGATTTAACGGCAAAACAGTCTTCAACAAGCTGATTTCCCTCTATGCTCCATGACAATGAGGACACAAGTGTGGGACAGCCCCCTGGGCACGCAGGCCAACCCTCCCCAGCCCATGCGAGCTGCCTCTCCCTGCTCCCGGTGCGCACGCACCCGGCCTGGCCGCGCTCGCATCCATTCATGCTGTCGCCAGTAGCCTGGAGCCCATCCAATTCCTAGAGAGAGCTCCAAGCAGAGCCAACTTCCAGCACTGCACACTGCGTGCTCAGGGACACAGAGTCTGGTCTGTGGCTGCAGGGACGGGGTGATATATTTGCAGGGTCAAGGTGACCAACCGCTGGGTGCAAACGAACTGTTCCTCTTTCAGCAGGGCAGAACAAGCAGCCTCTGTCTGAGCGCTCAGCGCTCCGTCACCTCACTCCAGCCCCAGACATGCTGGGGTCAGCACTCCCTGCCCACCTCAACAGAGCCCCCCTCTCCCAGCCCCGTTCCTTATTGTCACCACAGCAAGGTGAATTATACACTTCAGATTACACAGAGCAAAAGCTGACAGTGGAGGACAGGGCACAGGGATCTCCCTGCAGCTCTGCTCGTGTCTGTCAATCCTCAAACCAATCCCAGCTATTGAGATGCCGTACTCCAAAACCTGAGCTGCACAGCTGTACTTCTGCCTGTGTTCTCAGCACCGCAGCCGGCCGAGCAGCCTCTGGGGGAGCTGTGCGCGGTGCCACGTCTCTCCTTGGCGGCCATGCGGGGAAACCTCCCCATGAATTGGCCCTGAACTGCAGGGTCTTTTGGGAATCCCCAAAAGGCAAACCCGGGTGGTGTTCCAGCTCTCTCATTTAGGAGCCTGGGGAAAACATCTGCTCCATGCTGATGGCAGAGGGACTGTTTTAATTTTACCATCAGGACAGCCCAATTTGGGATTTTCCCAGGTTTGCAGCCCTGCTGGGGGTGTGTGCAACGCGGCAGGGAGCGAGGGATGGCGAAAGCTCCCTGCTGGAAGGCTGCAGCCCAGGCGAGCCTGTGTCTGACCTCCCCTGGGTGACAAAAGCTTCGCTCCACACCACCGTGCCGTGGACAAACCATGCACTGGGCGCCCGGCCCAGCGTTCCCAAGTGCTCATCTGCATTGAATTTTCCAACAAAGAGACCTGCAGGAGGGAGGGAGGGAAAGAAGGAGGGACAGAAGGAGGCAGGGTGACGGGGAGGCAGGCGGAGTGGGCGGATGATTCAGCCTCCATCCCCAGCGACACGGGGCGGCTGTGCGGGGCCAGGCCGAGGGGGAGGAGAGGACGAGGCTCTGGTTGCTGCAGGAGTTGGGCTCGGGTTTTGCAGAGGAGAGTGGAGCCTGCCAAGGCTGACACAAGCAGCACATCTGCTCCCATGCAGCTGGGGGAAGGGTGAAAAGGGAGGGGAGAAAGCCCAGCTTCGGCCCTCACCCCATCCCCATGCTCTGGATAAAGCCAGCAGATTGTCTCTCCGCTGGCTGGGAAGGTGCCGTGCTCCCAGCTTCCCTCCTGCTCTGCTGGCAGCCAGCAATGAGGACACGGGGACGGGCAGGCAGACGCTGCCTTCTCTGGGGACTCCCAGAGCAGCTCAGGAAATTAGAGGGTATTTTATACCACGCAGTCATGTCCTAGGAATGAAGGGAAGGTGGGGAAAGAGAGAGAGTGAGCACAGGAGAGGAGGAGGCAGTAAAAGCCGTCTCGCAGAGCACTGCGCTAGGAGCCGCGCTGAGGTTACCAGCACACAGCTGCTGAGCTCCATCCAGTCTTCCACCTCCCTCTCTCCCCTCCCTTCGGTGGCCTCCAGCCCAGCCCGGGCTGCGGATGCAAGGCAGTTTCTAGCTGCAGCCAGCGCAGGTCTCTCCTGAGCAGGGCCCGCCAACCACAGTGGGTCTGACGGAGAGCTAAGATGGAGTAGCACCAGCTGACTGCCTGGGGAGAGAAGGAAGCCCGGAGGCACAAACCAAGGCACGGCCAGGAGGGTTTGAGCCTCTGCCTTGCATGCTCAGCAGCAGTCACTGCTCCTCTCCAGCAGCTCTGTCCCCCAGTTTGCCTACCTAAGGGCAGGGTGCTCAGATAACAGCAATCACAGGACCTAGCAGTGATCAGAAAAGCTGCATTTCGGTCAGCACCAAGAAGAGACGTGAGAGAAGGGAACCCCTCACCATGTCAGACAACTCGATGGTGAGGATGAAAAGGAGTTTTGTCACTAGGGGAGGTGCAGGCATTGAGAACACAATTAATTAAGTGCTGACAATTGTACGTTAAAAAGAAGATGTAAAACCAATAGAGCAGAGGAAAAAAGATCTGTTCCTTTGTTTAGCTCAATTATTGAAAGCCCTTCACAGAACAGTGATATTTCTTCCAAGATCATAAAGACAAGAAATTAAATGCTGACATTAATCCCCTCTTGTAACTCCCCAGAAGTGCAGTCTAGGCAGATCGCACCTCTGACCTTGCCAGCCCCCATCTCCTGCAGAACCACAGGAAAAAAAATTAAGTCTGGAGACGTTCCTATCTAATAGCGCAAGCTTCAGACATTTGCACACCAAAAAATGCTATCTCATTTTCAAGTCCTGTAGTACACACACGCCTTAGGGCAGGGATGTCTTGTCTCCAAACGATTGTATAGATTAATGATGCTGAACAGCACAAGGAAACACCTTCATGTGTTAGTATCCAAATGCAAGCATTGCTGAGTTCTGGAGCAAAATCCTCCCTTCTCCAGGATCAAGCACTGGGGCCGTGAGGATGAGCTCTGCAGTCCTATTGCCAGAAGAAAAAATTGGACAGGGCAATTCTCCAACCGAGTTGAGATGTCGGACGGAAACTCTTTGCCTGTTAGGTTGAGCCCAGACACAGCACATGTGCTTCCTGCAGGGATACAATCCCCTCCAGGGCTGCAGGTCCTACCCAGGAATACGTAAGTGGAGCAGTGAGACCTTGGGCTTCACAGCAAGCAGCGTGCATCAAACAGGATTAGAGGATTGGAGGTGTCTGTCTCCATAAGCTGGGGAATTCTTTGGGTCTTCCTCACTGTATTTTTATCTCTTGTACAGGTGTGGTACACTGGGGTGAGAAGGTCTTTCTCTGTAAACAAAGACCAACATTCCCCATTTCAACCCCCCCGACACAGTATTTTCCACTGTGCCTCTATGTCATAGCAGCAGAGGGTAAAAAGGGATTGCAGATGGGTGAGTCTTTGAGCTCCATCAGACCCCCTCCCAGGGAGCTGCTGTTTTCCTCCTGTCAATTAACAGCCCCCGCCCCTTGTGCCAGGACAAAACCCCTCACAGCACTGTCTGTACGTGGGCTCCTGTTCAAAAACACAACACACAGCTCTGCATGGAGCAGGAGAAGCCATCTCTGCTCTCCTTGTAAACACAGGGCAGTTTACAAGGATTCCTCAGACAGCACATCACCTCATTTCAAGCTACTGCCTGCACTCAGGAGCAGGGACATGGTGCCTAAGAGCAAAAACACGTGAACAACTTCTTCCATCTTCAGCCTCCCTCAGCCACACTCCCAAAGCATCCCCATGCGATCCCCTCGATAGTCCGAGCAGTCCCTGCCCCAGTGACATCTGAAATGGCAACTGTTTTCCCCAAGAACTCCTACCAACACACAGTCCACTCTTACAGTCCACTGGACATACACCAGGAAATGCTTGGCTCCAGCAGGACTTGTGCTCACTCACCAGATGGGAGATGACAGGCTTAGTGCTCACCTAGCCCAAAGATTGGAAAAGGAATGGCATTTGAGAACAAGCTGCCTGACCTTGCAGGCCTGCCCTGGAGCACTCCTTATCAAAGAGAAGTTAAAGCCTTGGATTTCAAAGCGAGCCGACAAGCCCCTCCTGCTCTGCCCATCTGGCTGCAACAAGGCCGACAGGACAGCCTTCACTGACCTGGGGGAAGCTGTGTGGGGCTGCAGGAGGCACCTCCACTAATTCATCCTGCCCAGCGAGCTCAAAATCCCAGAAGGACGCTGGGAGCCACCATCAAAGGAAGCATTCTGCAGGGCCCTGAAGCTTGGGTGACACTCTCAGCCCTTTGAATTGGAAATCAGGACAAACGGACCTGCCTGCAGAAGCCCAGCCAGACTCTTCCTTCTGATTTCAGCTCCCCAGGAACTCTAAGAGCTGTCTGCACAGTCCAGCACGAGGGTCACCTACACCCCTTGCTTTGCTCTCAAATGTTGGGTGGGCTGTTCCTCACCTTCCTTGCAGA